ATTCTGATTTAACGCCATCTGGCAATAACTAGTAGCAACTTCTTAACCTAAAAATTAATTGCACTACCACCTAGTGGCTAGGGCTTGAACTATTTTATTTGAGATTCCCGTGGAAACGGTGGAACCGCTTTTGCTATTTCAGTTTCCCGTCCCTGGACAAGGGTATATTTTTATTCTTAATCTAAGGGTATATTAAATGATACTTAACAGCGAGGATAGGTTAAAAACCTTATTTCTTCTCGCACGTTTTTTAATTGCTTCCATTTTTGAAAATGTTTGTATTCCTTTTCATAAGTTATTCGGGATTTAAATGGAAGTAGTTTGGATATGGCGTTTATCGCCTCAGCCTGAATATCTGTCGGTAATTTATTTACTTCGTTTTGAGCCATTTGGCTCCAATTCAATCAGCAATAATATTGACTCAAAACCCACAACTAAAGAGACAGCTTTATTTACTTATCAAATTACATAGAAACCAACGCCAACCCAGCACAATATTTTTTCTAGTCTTAATGAATTCCTTGAAACAATAATTTCTGAATATTTTTTGAAACGGAACTCGCTATGGAAAAAGATATTGTTTTATACACGACGATAAAATTGCATTATCGTCTCCCGAAATTAATTCAAGACGATAAAATACCATTTTATCGTCTTGTATAAAAAATAACTAAAATATAGTTTTTCGATTTGTTTCATTCAATTCATCAACTATCCCTTATTGTTTTTGCATGGCATAGATAGCTTAAATGTTTCACTGTATGCCTAAACAGAATGTTCCTTCTCATCATAGACCAAAGTCGTATACATTATTTCATTTTCTAAAACTTTACTAAAATTTATTTTAGTAAAGCTTTTTTGACTGATATGGTAGATTTTCTCACTTCAATAACGGTAAGAGAGTATTCTGTGTAGAACTACAAAGACTTGGTATGTCGTGCTTTTTGTGACATTGATTCGTCGAGGATAACTATGGTGTCTAGCTTAGACTTGCATGGCTTTACTCGAAATAATTGCTGACTTCTCGCTGTAGCTGCCTAAAGAAAACAAACTAATAACTGCCATACCAAATATGTGACAACATGTATAATATACAAGTTGATAGTTTTTTTTTCTTTGTAGACCAGACTATTTTGTGGCATTTAAACAATATACAGGGTTGTTCACCACATACGACGCGGAGTATTGTAGCTAAACTCTTAGATTTTTGCAAATTGTAAGTTTCGGGTTGGTTGAAGAATTAGAGCTACAATTTAAAAATATTTTTACAGATACAAAGTGGCCCAAATAAATAAAAAATACCAAAGTTGTATTTTTTAAATGGAACACCCTGTATATTATTACATTTCTAGTTTCTACGATTAAAATAAAGATAAATTTGATTAAGGTTTACCGCATTTTAATCTTACCCTTTTTGAAATATTTAGGTTTTTGTCAAAATACAGTAATAATTTTAAGGCTTTATTTCTCCAGGCGTATTTAAGTTTTTAAAACCAAATATTGTACTGAAGTATTTCTATTTGCTAAATGTTGTGTTGCAATAATAAAAATTTTACTAACTTATACAGAGTGTCTAAAAATTTATTTTAAATAATAACTAGCAATAAACGGCAATTACTTCTATAATTTAAATAGAACACCCTGTATATTTTATGGGAATCAGATGCACAATTTAATTGTCTATCAAATTGCATTATATCATTTTTTACCTATGTCTTCAGGTTTTCGTAGAAAATGCATTTTCTTATAATTTAGACCACAATTATCAATATATCCATGGAATATTGACATTTTTGATTATTTTTAAAGATCTAACAAATTTTTAAAGGTTACAGATATTAATATTGTCGATATAGTTCGTTTATGTCATTAAAAAATAAAAAAATTGTCTAAATATTTGTAAAAGAGGACCAATTAATATGATTCCAGTATTCAAACTACATTAATTGACTGTTTGTCTATTTGTTGTATGTGTATTAGACAGCGTGGTAAAAAATAACACCTTAATTTTATTTCATTTTTTGAAGGATGCTTATTTAACAACAGAGACGTTCATTTTCATAACTTATTATTATATTGATTTCTGATTCCAAATCCACATTTATTTAGAATAATTTATTAACTAACACAGTTAAATATGTAGTTAATTAGTATTTGGGCGGAAATAATGGTGGTATATTTAATTATGGTACACTCTTTTATAAATATTTAAATAGTTTTATTTTTGTATACAAATAGGCTGGTAATATTATCGTTTTTAGCACCTGTACATTTGTTGCTTTAAAAACAATCTAGAATGTCAATATTCCATGGGTATATTGATAAATAAGGTCTAAATTATAAGAAAAAGCATAGAGATAGGTAAAAATGGTATAATACAATTTGATGGACAATTAAATTGTGCGTCTGATTCTCCTCAAATATACAGGGTGTTCCATTTAAATTAAACAAGTTATTGCCGTTGAAAGCTAGAAATTATTTAAAATAAATTTTTAGACACTCTGTATGAGGTAGTATTATTTTTATTATTGCAACACAATAACTGATCAATAATTAAACTTCAGTAAATATTTAGTATTAAAAACTTTGATACCCTTGGAGAAATAAAGCCTTAAAATTTTTACTACAATTTCACAAAACTGAAAATATTTCAAAAACGGTCCGGTTTAAGGGTGATAAACCTTAATCAAATTTACCTTTATTTTAATCATAGAAACTAAAAATGTAATAATATACAGGGTGTTCCATTTAAAAAAATACAACTTTGATATTTTTTATTTGGGGCACTCTGTATCTTGTAAAAATATTTTTAAATTGTAGGTCTAATAATCTTTCAACAAACCCAAAACCTACAATTAGTAAAAATCTAATCGTTCAGTTACAATACTCCGTGTCGTATGTGGTGAACAACCCTGTATAGGTACTCTGAATTTAGTAAAATATATTATGCCCATATAAACATCAGTACAACACAATAAAAATAATACCCACAAAACCTACTTCACAAGATAAGACTCCAAATAAAGACTCAGCATCTCGCACGAGCAAATTTGGACACTCATGACGTCGGGAGAGGCCAATGACAGCGGTTCGGAACCTAGCAGTGCTGTTTTACTAGTTTAAAAAATGTTTGACAAGCCCAAGCTCCAATGATATCAGAACAAAGTTACGTTTGGTTTAACTATAAAAAAAAGTATTTATTCAGTACTCGCAAGTTCAAAGAAAGAAATGTACAGAAGACACAACTTTGGAAGAAAAGAATTCTATCAGACACAGTCTAAAAGTGATAGAGAGGGTAGATTTTAACATTACCAACCTGAAAAGAGATAATATATTTTTTATAATAGAATACTAATTTTAAGGCACCAGATAAAAGACATTAACTTAACTGTGTTAAAGTAGCCCATCTAATAGTTTTTAAAGTAATGAACACATACACCTGAAAAAAATTATCTTCTTTCTGTAGCAAAAATCAGAATCGCTGTCTTCCTTCTATTGCTGACTTCTCGCTATAGCTGCCTAAAGAAAATAGCTAGTAACTGCCCTTCCAAATATGTGAAAACATGTATATATACAAGTTGATAGGTTTTTTTGTACACTAGACTATTTTTTTGTATTTAAGCATTCATATATTAACTACTACTAGCGTGTACCAGCGACTTCGTTCGCATCGAATTAATCATTTGTAATGGTGATGATAAAGCAAAGCAAGAATTTCCATTAACATACAAACTGGATAAAATTTTCCCACATTTATGTCAGCATGAGAAAATACAATATGGCGATATTATTATATAACTTGGTAATATTTGAGGGGTAGTTTCATCTCGTGGGAATTTGACTTTCGAAAAATCCGTTTGCCAAAAATAAGCTTTTTACGTCAAGCAGTTTAAGCAGAATCGTGGTTAAGAAATGACCCAACTTTTTGGAACACCCTGTATGATTTTTTAAAAAATTTAAAATATGTAAAAAAATCAAATAAAGTATGCTTGTCCAAGCGTTTTCCCGAAAGACTAACCGTTTTTTAAATAACAAATATTGTAATATTTGAGGGGCGTTTTCACCCTCATGGAATTTGAGATTCGAGAAACCCCTCCTTATCGAACCTCTACACCCCACAGTCAATCCGTTTGCCAAAAATCAGCTTTAAACGTCAAGCAGTTTAAGCAGAATCGTGATTACTCAATGGTCATATTTTATGAAACGCCCTGTATAAATTTTTAAAAAATCTTAAAATATGTAGAACAACAAAATAAAATATACGTGTTTAAGAGTTTTTCCAAAAAAACTCACCGGTTTTAAATAAAAAATATTTTAATATTTGAGGGATAGTTTCACCCCCTTAGAATTCGAGTTTCGAAAAATCCCTTCTTATCGAACCTCTACACCCTAAAGTCAATCTGTTTTCGAAAAATCAGCTTTTTACGTCAAGCGCTTTAAGCAGGATCGTGATTAATCAATGACCAGATTTTTCGAAACGCCCTGTATACATTTTTAAAAAATCTTAAAATATGTAAAAAAATAAAATAAAATATACGTGTTTAAGCGTTTCTTTCGGAAACTTGACCGTTTTTTAAATAACAAATATTTTAATATCTGAGGGATAGTTTCACCCCCTTAGAATTCGAGTTTCGAAAAATCCCTTCTTATCGAACCTCTACACCATAGAATCAACCTGTATGCCAAAATTGAGCTTCTTACGTTGAGTGGTTTAAGCAGGATCGTAATTAATCAGTGAGTCAGGCACTTAAGGATTTTATATATTAGTATAGATATAAAAATTGTATTTATTCAGCACTTGCAAGCACAAAGAAAAAAATATTCACAACTTTAGAAGAAAAGCAAAGTTCAGACACAGCCTAAAAGTCATACAAAAGACAGATACTAAGATTTTATTTTTTAAAGTAATGACCTCCTGAGAAAACGATCTTCCTGTAGATTAGCTGAAAAATAGAAAAATATGCCCCCAATCAACCCACAAGCAAAAGAAAACCGCCCCATACTTGTAAATCATTTTATTAATTATGCTCTATAAACACTATCAATGTAATAACAATAATTAAATATTACTTTTTTAAAAAAAGACAAATAAACTTAGAATAATAAAAATGCTGACACTAATATACTACTTCGGGCGTCACTTAGACAAATTTACAAGTGCTATATAATAATAAAAAATATTTCTTTTTAGATTTTGCGGATTTTCCATACTCGTGTGACAATAACAAGTCATATACATAAAGGTTCAATAATTTTTTAGAGACGTCGAAGTCACATAAAGTCCGTCCAACAAGAATGTACATGATTTTGACAGTTTTCTGTCATTTTTTGGTTGACGTCGTCTGTCGAAATGTTTCCCTGGCTCGTTGGACAGACTATATCAATTTTGTACTATACAATTCTTATCATAAAATTAATAAATCCAAAATATAGTCTCTAAAAACTAACAATATGCAAAAAAGCAATAAAACAATGATTTAATTATTAATTAATACAAACATACACAGTAAAAAATATGTAAATATTTTTAATAGACATAGTAAAGTAGGATTAAATATGTAAACGAACATTTTAGCATAAAAAGCTGTTATATTAACCTTTCAAATTGTAAATTCAAAAAAAAATAGATATAATAAAGCTTAATTTGCTGTTTTAGTAAAATTGGATAATAGTAAAAGCTTTTGTTTGAGACACCCTGTATATGTAGAATGGAAAGAAAAATCAAAATTTTATTGCATAATAATGACTATGAATGAAATAATTCTTACAGTTTCTAAGTTCAAGGCATTAAAGTTCATGAATATTAAAAGTATCCTTATATACAGGGTCTTTCAATTAACTGGCTCGTTAAGAGTTTTTTAAAATATAATTTAGATAATTATTTGAATGTAGTAATGTAGTAAATATTTTCCACTTTCTGACATTGGAAGTGGCTGTCAAATTGTTTGTGACCGAGTTGCAAGAACAACCCTGTATAATTAATATATTAAATGAATAACAAACCAATAAAGAATCTGTTTTTCAAAAAACATCAAAACTTCAATGCCTTGAAACAAAATACAAGCCTAAAAACTCAACAACATTATTTTTGTCACTCTTACACAACTTAGAGGAAAAAATCCGCCAAACAAATATACATACAATATAAAATAAAATCAAAAAATATATAAGGCTTTGGTGTAGAAAAAAGCAAAAATATAATTCACAAAAAAAGAAAAACACCTCACTGACCTAATACCTAACCTATATACAGAGTTTGTTAAAAAGTTAACTTCACGGTAAATTCGTATATAAGGGAAAATGTGTTCTAATCTTTCAAAACAACCTGTACATTTTATCAACTACATTAATTAAATGATTTGGGCGTGCCACGATAAATTTGATCCCTCTGTGTTTCTAACGAGAAAAAACGTAAAGAGATTTTTTTCGTAAATATAACTTACACAAAAAAATAAACATACGCTAAATGCCCGTATACACGTTACGTTTTACTTGTTCATTCAAACGAATTCTTTTCGAGTCACTGTGTACTAGTCTTTAATCTGCTTAATAACTGATTCTTTTAATTAAGAGGCGAAACAGATATGACATTTTGAGCTAGGACTACAAAGAGTAATGAAGTTGACTTGTTATCCGCAAAGGCGAAATAAAATCGTTTTTGTGTCAATTTTTTTCGAGTCGGCTCACCAATAATTACAGAAATATAACTATTGGAACATACCAAACCAAACCAACCAAAGATAGTGGTTCTACAATAATAAGAACTGTAGAGATTATTGTACCTGCCAATCTGGATAAAACTTCAAAGGCGCGACGAAAAAATCGTTTTAGTTTCAGACTCATAATACTCGCAGCTATTAAGTACAGAAATATAATCGTTTTTAAATTAATGAAAAATATAGATAAGTAACAACCCAAGACACTGTTTTTGAAAATAGGTTAAAACCGGTTTAAAGGATACTGTTTTTGAAAATAGGTTAAAACCGGTTTAAAGTATACTGTTTTTGAAAATAGGTTAAAACCGGTCTAAAGGATACTGTTTTTGAAAATAGGTTAAAACCGGTTTAAGATACTGTTTTTGAAAATAGGTTAAAACCGGTTTAATAAAAATTGTTCTTTTCTCGTAAAGTTTAGCAAATTATTTGAGTACTTCCTATGAGTACTAGTCTTCAATCTGCAATAGCTGACACTCGTAAAATTCCTTGACTAAAAGGAATATTAAACCTGAAAATGTTAATAAAACTCCGAAAACGCGAAGAAAAAATCATTGTGCTTTCCACTTCATAATGCTTGGGAGCTAATCATTATAGAAATATAATTGTTTTAAAAATAACGGAAAATAACAACTCGAGACATTTTTTTTGAAAATAGGTTTAAACCGGTTTAACAAAAATCTTTTTTTTTTAGCAAATTCTTCGAGTATTTTCAGTGAATACTAGTCTTTAATCTTGAATACCTGACACTCGTCGTGATATTATTCTAAAAAAGTAAGGAATACAAAGAATATTAAACTTCTGATTATGAAATGATATTCTGAATAAAACTCCAAAAGGGCGACGAAAAAATCGTTTTACTCTCCACTTCATAATACTTGGGAGCTATTAATTACAGAAATATAATTGTTTTTAAATTAATGGAATAACAACCCAAGATAGTGGTTTTGAAAATAGGTTAAAACCGGTTTAAAGGATACTGTTTTTGAAAATAGGTTAAAACCGGTTTAAAAGACACTGTTTTTGAAACTACGTTAAAACCGGTTTAAGACACTGTTTTTGAAAATAGGTTAAAACCGGTTTAATAAAAATTGTTCTTTTCTCGTAAAGTTTAGCAAATTATTCGAGTACTTCCTGTGAGTACTAGTCTTCAATCTGCAATAGCTGACACGTAAAATTCCTTGACTAACAGGAATATTAATCCAGAAAATGTTAATAAAACTCCGAAAACGCGATGAAAAAATCATTGTGCTTTCCACTTCATAATGCTTGGGAGCTAATAATTATAGAAATATAATTGTTTTAAAAATAACGGAAAATAACAACTCCAGACACTTTTTTTGAAAATAGGTTAAAACCGGTTTAACAAAAATATTTTTTTAACAAATTCTTCGAGTATTTCTAGTATTTCTAGTCTTTAATCTTGAATACCTGACACTCGTCGTGATATTCTTATTCTGAAAAAGGAATACAAAGAATATTAAACTTCTGATTATGAAATGATATTCTGAATAAAACTCCAAAAGGGCGACGAAAAAATCGTTTTACTTTCCAATTCATAATGCTTGGGAGCTATTAATTACAGAAATATAATTTTTTTTAAATTAATGGAATAACAACCCAAGATAGTGGTTTTGAAAATAGGTTAAAACCGGTTTAAAAGACACTGTTTTTGAAACTAGGTTAAAACCGGTTTGAGACACTGTTTTTGAAAATAGGTTAAAACCGGTTTAATAAAAATTGTTCTTTTGTCGTAAAGTTTAGCAAATTATTCGAGTACTTCCTGTGAGTACTAGTCTTCAATTTGCAATAGCTGACACGTAAAATTCCTTGACTAACAGGAATATTAATCCAGAAAATGTTAATAAAACTCCGAAAACGCGATGAAAAAATCATTGTGCTTTCCACTTCATAATGCTTGGGAGCTAATAATTATAGAAATATAATTGTTTTAAAAATAACGGAAAATAACAACTCCAGACACTTTTTTTGAAAATAGGTTAAAACCGGTTTAACAAAAATATTTTTTTTAACAAATTCTTCGAGTATTTCTAGTATTTCTAGTCTTTAATCTTGAATACCTGACACTCGTCGTGATATTCTTATTCTGAAAAAGTAAGGAATACAAAGAATATTAAACTTCTGATTATGAAATGATATTCTGAATAAAACTCCAAAAGGGCGACGAAAAAATCGTTATAGTCGATAAAAAAGGACTATCAAGAATACTAAAAACGATATTTTGAATAAAACTTCAAAATGGCGACGAAAAGATTTTAGTTCCCGACTCATAGGACTCGGAGCTATTAATTACAGAAATATAATTATTTTTAACTTAATAAAAAATATGGATAAGTAACAGCTCAAGATACTTTTTTTGAAAATAAATAAAAACCGGTTTAATAAAAACTGTTTTTTTAGGATTACAAATTTTTCGAGTACTTCCAGTGAGTACTAGTCTTTAATCTGCCAGTACCTGATCCTCGTCGTAAAATTCCTACTTCGCAAAAACCACGAATACAAAGAATAGTATAGTTGAAACTCTAAAGAAAATTCCGAGAGCACGGTAAAGAAATCGTTTTACTTTCCAATTCATGATGCTTGGGAGTTAATCAAGAGAAATATAATTGTTTAAAAAAAATGGAAAATATAGATAAGTAACAACACAAGATACTTTTTCACGAAACTAGTTAAAACCGGTTTAACAGATACTGTTTTTGAAAATAGCTTAAAACCGATTTAACGGATGCTGTTTTTGAAAATAGGTTAATCTATCATCTAACAGTACCTGACCCTCGTTGTAAAATTCCTACTGCGAATACAAATACTATAGGTAAAACTGTAAAGAAAATTCCGAGAGCACGGTGAAGAAATCGTTTTACTTTCCAATTCATGATGCTTGGGAGCTAATCAAGAGAAATATAATTGTTTAAAGAAAATGGAAAATATAGATAAGTAACAACACAAGATACTTTTTCACGAAACAGGTTAAAACCGGTTTAACAGATACTGTTTTTGAAAATAGGTTAAAACCGGTTTAACGGATACTGTTTTTGAAAATAGGTTAAAACCGGTTTAAGACACTGTTTTTGAAACTAGGTTAAAACCGGTTTAATAAAAACTTTTTTATTTGTAGCGCAAAAGCCACGAATACAAAGAATACTATAGGTAAAACACTAAAGAAAATTCCGAGAGCACGGTGAAGAAATCGTTTTACTTTCCAATTCATGATGCTTGGGAGCTAATCAAGAGAAATATAATTGTTTAAAAAAAATGGAAAATATAGATAAGTAACAACACAAGATACTTATTCACGAAACTAATAAAACCGGTTTAACGGATACTGTTTTTGAAAATAGGTTAAAACCGGTTTAATGGACTCTTGAATAGGTTAAAACCGATTTAAGACGCTTTTTGAAAATAGGCTAAAACCGGTTTAAAAAACACTGTTTTTGAAAGTAGGTTAAAACCGGTTTAATAAAAACTTTTTTATCTGTAAAGTCTAGCAAATTCTTTTCGAGTACTTCCAGTGTGTACTATTCTTTAATCTGCAATATACCTGACCCTCGTTATTAAAACGGCAAAGGCAAAATAGGTAAGGCGTGTTGAGCTAGAACTATCAAGAGTAATAAATTTGCGATGTTACAGATAATTCGACAAATGTGTTCATAGAAGCGTTTTCGTCTCCAAAAGGATTTTCGTGTCCGGCTCATAATGCTTGGAACCAATAATGACAAGACAATTGTTTTAAAATTAATGGAAACTATAGGTAAGTAACAACACAAGATACTTTTTTACAAAACAGGTTAAAACCGGTAAAATAAAAATTGATTTTTTTTAAAGGTTGGCAAATTTTTTTCGAATACTTCCAGTGTGTACTAGTCTTTAATCTGCAATAAAACCTGGTTATTCAAACCACAAAGCCAAATCAGCTCTGTCCCTTAGAACTAACATTACCACGAGTAAAATATTTGATGTGTAACAGATAAATCGACAAAAGCGTACAAAAAAGCGGCTTTGAAACCAGCTCATAATGTTTGGAACCAATAATGACGACATAATTGTTTTTAAATTAATGAAAAATATAGATAAGTAGTAATCCAAGACACTTCTTTTTAAATAGGTTAAAACCGGTTTAAATAAAACTTTTTTTTAGGTTTACCAAATTCTTCGAGTCATTCCAGTGTGTATTAGTCTCTTAAATAAACGTATATAAAGTATAGTAAACCTGACAGTTTAAATAAAACTCCCAAAGTACGACGAACAAACCGTCTTTGGTACCAGCTCATAACGCACGCAGCTAATAATTACAGAAATATAATTGTTTTTCAATTAATGGAATATATAGATAAGTAACAACCCAAGATACTGTTTTTGAAAATAGGTTAAAACCGGTTTAACGGATAATGTCTTTGAAACTAGGTTAAAACCGGTTTAATAAAAACTGTATTTTTTAAAATTTAAGAAATTCTTCGAGTACTTTCAGTATGGGCTAGTCTTTAATCTGGAATAATTTTAACGGGTATAACGCTAATCTTCCCTTAACGGCTTTATAAGAAGATAGATGCAGCTTCCAATAGTTGTAATAGATACGAAAACTTTGCAAACCAGAAAAAAAAGCGTTCGAACCGCATAACTTCGAGCCAATCGCTATATATTTGTTTCAAAAATAATGCAAAATATAGATAAGTAACAACCCGAGAAACCGTTTTTGAAAATAGGTTAAAACCGGTTTAACGGATTCTGTTTTTGAAAAGAGGTTAAAACCGGTTTAATAAAAACTTTTTTTTTTGGTTTTGGGAAATTCTTCGAGTACTTCCAGTATGTGCTAGTCTTTAATCTGGAACAACTTTTAAAGGGTATAACGCTAATCTTCCCTAGACGGCTTTATAAAAAGATAAGAGCGATAATAATAAGCGATACGAGAACTTTGCAAACCAGAAAAAGAAACCGTATAATTCGCAGAACTTTGAGCTAATCGCTATATATTTGTTTCAAAAATAATGGAAAATATAGATAAGCAACAACCCGAGATACTGTTTTTCAAAATCGGTTAAAACCGGTTTAATGAAAACGTTTTTTTTTATTTCTGTAAAGTTTAGCAAATTCTTCGAACACTTCCAGTAATAACGTGTAAACGGGGCTTTCAGAACAACGACTCGCAGTTTAAACGGGTTTAATATAAATAGTTTTTTTCTTGTAAAGTTTAGGAAATCTTTCCGGTAATTTCGGCGTGTGCTAGTAGTCTCTCTCTGGAACATATGAACTAACGTCTAAAAGATTTAACGCGTTTAACGGAGCTCTGACAACGGCCATGCAGATTATGGCAGTTCAATTTCTAAAACCTCGAAAAAAACATATTCCGGAAAAATGTGCATACTTTTTAAAATTAACGGCTATAACTATAAATAAAACATTTTTCGAAAATAGGTGTTCCGGTTCCAAAATGCCAAATTGTTTTTTCCGAAAATTTAGCACAGGTTCTGTTGAGTCCTCGCACGACCGTCAAATCTCGGGTGACTTTTTTACAAAACGGGGTTCTCGAACTTGGGACCTTTCTCTATGAAAATCTCGTCGTACGCCCCCGCCTGCTCCAGCTCCAACACTTGGAACTTCTTCAGCACCAACACGCTGTAGAATTTCTGGGCGGCCTAGAAAAAAAAACAAACAATGGTTTCTTCTTATACAGGGTTGTTCGCGCTATTCGGCACGGAGTATTGTAGCCAAATAATTAGATTGGGTGAGTGACGGCAGACTACTAAAGCTGCAATTTGAGATTATTTTCAAAAGGTACAGACTGGCACAAATAAATAAAAAATATCGAGGTTGTATTTTTTTCAATTTAACACCCTGTATTTTATTACATTTTTTGTTGTGAAAATTTTTTTAAAAAATTATTAAAAATACTGCCCTGAAATCAAAACTATATTAGGTATTTACTTTGGATGGTCTCTACTTACTTTGCTATAAATATGGAAATCGTAAATCATACAGGATGTTCAAAAATCTACTCCAAACCTTCCAAAATATAAAATAATTTTTCTTCGTTTTTTTTAATGGAACACCCTGTATATTATTTTTTCAATAGATGGAGAACTAAAAAATTGACATTTTTTGTATTTAGAGTATTTCAAAATTTTTAACTGTTTCGCAGATATCCGCGGTTTTATATTTCAAATGGCATTTTTCACAGTAAATTTTTTCAAAGCCACCAAATGATTTTTATCTCGAATTTTACCGTTGAAAGAGCCATATGAAATAACACTGCGTGTATCTGCGAAACCATCAGAAATGTTGAAATACTTTAAAATAGAGAAATAGTATACAGGGTGTTCCACTTAAAATAAAAACAAAGAAAAATTATTTTATATTTTAGAAAGTTTGGCGTAGAATTTTGAACACCCTGTATGATTTAAGACTGCGATACTTATAGCAAAGCAGGTACATACCCTCTAAAGTAAACACCTAATATAGTTTTGATTTTCGGACAATTCTTGTTTTCGTAATATTTTTTTAAGGAAGATTCAAAATGTATATTTTTTAATTATGTATTAATATCTCTGAAATTATCGAAATATAATTACTCATATCTTGGGATTATTTAAAGTGATCTGAAAGGAAGCCAAAAATGCAACAATATACAGGGTGTTCCGTTTAAGAAAAATAATCCCCATCCACTCACACTTTTTTGGGCCACCCCAGAGAAGGTAAAATATTTTCCTGAAATACATTCTGTACATACTTTAGGCTGGCACTTAAACAAAATTCTCAAGTGTTTTATTCTAGGAGCTACAGATGCCCGACGCACTATTGCCGCACCCTGTATATGCTTTTATTCCACTTAATTTGAAGGTAGAACGTAATAAAGTAAAATTTAATTAAATCATTATTTTATTCATAATGATTTAGATTTAAATTCCAAATTAGAAACCAAAAATAGAAATTTTTAAACAATATAAAATACTAACTTTCAAAACATAAAAATACGAAAAACTTACCAAGAATATAAATATAACACAACTAATTTTTTTTACTTAAAACAGAACCATGTAATCAGAATCTTTAAATCTAGCATACATTTTAGATATATTATGTCTAGTATGACTTTACTTGATCTAAATGAAATAAAATCTATAGGCACATTCCACAAGGTTCGCTTTTTTGTACATATTTACTGTTCATGTTTTTTTTATTTATCAGCCAATACGTTTTAAAAAAATCCCAGTTCTGTTTGCATTTTCTTCAATTTTATTATTCATTTCATCATATTGAAAAAGATAATGTATAGTAAATCAATAAAGTTGGCGTCTATGTCGTCAAAATACAATACGATCGAAAAAAAACGGTGTCAAAGACGGCTGGAGAATGACCTCGAGAAGGCCTTCAGAAGATTGTAATTTATTTTTCTATTAGCGTGTACCCGCGACTTCGTTCACGTCGAATTAATCATTTGTAATGGTGATGATAAAACAAAGCAAAATTTTCCATTAACATACAAACTGGATAAAATTTTCTCACATTTGCCAAAAATAAGAGTTTTACGTCAAGCAGTTTAAGCAGAATTGTGGTTAATCAATTACCCAACTTTTTGGAACACCCTGTATGATTTAAACCCCACAGTCAATCTGTTTGCCAAAAATCAGCTTTAAACGTCAAGCAGGTTAAGCAGAATCGTGATTACTCAATGGTCATATTTTATGAAACACCCTGTATAAATTTTTAAAAAATCTTAAAATATGTAAAACAACAAAATAAAATATACGTGTTTACGAGTTTTTTCCGAAAAATTCACCGTTTTTTAAATAAAAATTATTGTAATATTTGAGGGGTGGTTTCACCCCCTTGGAACTGGAATTTCGAAAAATCCCTTCTAATCGAACCTCTACACCCTAAAGTCTATCTGTTTTCCAAAAATCAGCTTTTTACGCCAAGCGCTTTAAGCAGGATCGTGATTAATCAATGACCAGATTTTTCGAAACACCCTGTATATATTCTTAAAAAATCTTAAAATATGTAAAAAGCAAAATAAAATATACGTGTTTAAGCGTTTTTTCAGAAACTTGACCGTTTTTTAAATAAAAAATATTGTAATATTTGAGGGGTGGTTTCACCCCCTTGGAACTGGAATTTCGAAAAATCCCTGCTTATCGAACCTCTACACCCTAGAATCAACCTGTATGCCAAAATTGAGCTTCTTACGTTGAGTGGTTTGAGCAGGATCGTGATTAATCAGTATGTCAGTCACTTAAGGATTTTATATATTAGTATAGATTGAATAAAAATGATTTTTAAATTATGTAGTTGAAAATTCGAGAAAAAAGAATCTTTCGAATATAGGTTTGTGCCTCTGGAAACTGGAAACGTTCTATCCCTTTTTTAATCTCTTTATAATGAACAGTGTTAATTTTTGACAAGTTTTATGTCAATTTTTGGTAAATGACGTCTAGAGATTGACCTCGCCAAAATTATTATCGATTGTCATTCCTCAGCCGTCTTTGACGCCGTCTTTTTTTCGATCGTACGATATTTGACGAATGTACGTCGTAATGTCGTCACTTCCACTTTTTTTTACTTTGACTTTTACTGATATCGCTATATTTGATTTCATCATTTATTATGAAATAATAACGGTCGATTTCGTTTGATCTATACATACAGGATGTCCCAGAAATAAGCGCAAGTATTTTAACCGGTAGTATAGCTCAACCGCGAGGTTTTTTTCGCCAAAATTTTTTTTGAAAATTCGATTTTTTTTGTTTTTAGTTAAAAAAACATAATTTCTTGACAATATGGCAACATAGGTATTAGATTAAATTTCCAAGAAAGAAAATCCAGAAAAGATCCAGTAGTTCTCAAAATTTTAGGAAAAAATAATTTTTTTTTGGAAATTTTTAAAGCAAAATAACTCCGTTATTTTGGACTTATTTGAAAAACGACAAAGAGAAAATATTATGTTTCTTTTATCGAGCTCTACCACGCCTTAAAATACTTGCACTTATTTCTGGGACACCCTGTATAACGTTTTAAATATTTTTTAATTGACTTATTTTTTAAGTCTGCTTCTGACATAAAAAATAATACACAGGACATACCATTCAAAAAAAATAAGAAAAATTACTCCATATTATTATTTTATTATTACTCCATATCTATTATAACAATTTTGATATTAAATTGTGAGCACCCTGTACAATTTGCGTTTACCATTATTTATATTAACGTAAAAACAGACAGGCAGTGGTAAATACCGAGTGTTGTTTTGACTTCAGGCCGTCAATTAGAATTTTTAGTTAATTTTTTTCGAAAATGTTACAAAACAGAATTTTTTTTTTAATAATTTTTCTTAAGCAAAAAAAATGTAATCTTGATAATATTAACATAAGTAGTAGATTAGAAGAACGAAATACCAAAAAAAATCGAGTGGTTTGGACAAAATTTAAACAAAAAAACATGTTTTTTAAATTTGCAAAGGAAAATAACTCGGATATTTTGGAATTATTTGAAAAACGGTAAAGAGAAAATATGTTTCTATCGAATCTATTATCTACCAGTCTTTAAATGGTTCATTTCAACGCATAAATTCCATAAGTTAATTTTTTTTGCTCACCCTACTGTATACAGGGTTGTTCACCACTTACGACACGGAATATTGTAGCTAAACGATGAGATTTTTACAAATTGTAAGTTTGGGGTTCGTTGAAGGACATTAGAGCTACAATTTAAAAATATTTTTACAAGATACAGAGTGTCCCAAATAAATAAAAAATATGAAAGTTGTATTTTTTTGAATGGAACATCCTATATATTATTACATTTTTAGTTTCTACGATTAAAATAAAAGTAAATTTGATTAAGGTTTATTACACTTAAACCTTACCGTTTTTGAAATATTTTCAATTTTGTGAAATTGCAGTATAAATTTTAAGGCTTCATTTCTCCGAGGGTCTCAAAGTTTTTAATACCAAATATTTACTGAAGTTTATTTATTGATCAGTTATTGTGTTGCAATAGTAAAAATTTTACTACCTTATACAGAGTGTCTAAATATTTATTTTAAATAATTATTAGCTTTAAACGGCAATAACTTGTTTAATTTAAATGGAAAACCCTGTATATTTTATGAAAATCAGATGCACAATTTAATTGTCTATCAAATTGTATTATACCAGTTTTTACCTATCTCTTCAAGTTTCCGTATAAAATGCATTTTCTTGTAATTTAGAACTCATTTATCAATATACCCATGGAATACTGACATTTTAGATTATTTTTAAAGATGTACCAAATTTTTAGAGTACAGATACTAATATTGTCGATATAGTTCGTTTATTTCATTAAAAAATAAAAAAAACTGTTTAAATATTTGTTAAAGAGGACCAATTAATATGATTCCGGTATTCAAACTACATTAATTGACTGTCTGCGTTGAGGAATAATGAATAATAATTGCTCCAAATACTAAAAAACTGAATTATGTATGTGTATTAGACAGTGTGGTAAAAAAATAACACCTTAAAAATGATATTTCATTTTTTGACAAATGCTTATCTATAACAACAGAGACGTTCATTTTCATAACTTATTATTATATTGATTTCTGATTCAAATCCACATTTATTTAGAATAATTTATTAACGAACACAATTAAGTATGTAATTAATTAGTATTTGGGCGGAAATACTGGTGATATATTTAATTAATGGTATACTCTTTTATAAAGATTTAAATAGTTTTCTTTTTGCATACAAATGGGCTAGTAATATTATCGTTTTTACTAACCTCTACATTTTGTACATTTGTTGTTTTAAAAACAATCTAAAATGTCAATATTCCATGGGTATACTGATAAATGAGGTCTAAATTATAAGAATATGCATTTTCTACGAAAACTTGAAGGGATAGGTAAAAAGTGGTATAATACAATTTGATAGACAATTAAATTGTGCATCTAATTCTCATAAACTATACAGGGTGTTCCATTTAAATTAAACAAGTTATTGCCGTTTAAAGCTAGCAATTATTTAAAATAAATTTTTAGACACTCTGTATAAGGTAGTACTATTTTTATTATTGCAACGCACTAACTGATCAATAAATAAACTTCAGTAAATATTTAGTATTAAAAACTTTCGATACCCTCGGAGAAATAAAGCCTTAAAATTTATACTGCGATTTCACAAAATTGAAAATATTTCAAAAACGGTAAGGTTTAAGTGTAATAAACCTTAATCAAATTTACCTTTATTTTAATCGTAGAAACTAAATATGCAATAAAATACAGGGTGTTCCATTTAAAAAAATACAACTTTGATATTTTTTATTTATTTGGGACGCTCTGTATCTTGTAAAAATATTTTGAAATTGTAGCTCTAATAGTCCTTCAACGAGCCCAAAACTTACAATTTGTAAAAATCTAATCGTTTAGCTACAATACTCCGTGTCGTATGTGGTGAACAACCCTGTATAAACAGGAATGAGAATAACCACCATATAACCACTTTCAGCGATAAATACACCAAATTTTACAACAAACAGTAAGGTTAGATTGCAATTGTCAACAAAGATGGTTAGATCTATTCAACCTTCTCAGTTGATGAACAGGTATGAAAAATTTCGCGATAAAATGTATCATAAATATACTTCAAAAAATCCGCCTTGAATATAGAATGGCACGGAAAATTCAGAATAAAATTGTCATTGTTTATTATTGAAAATAAATAGTGTACACACTTACCTGTTTTCGTTTGTTCTTACGGCACAATTCCGACAGCGTAATTTGACTGGCATCCTGTAACCTGTTTCTTACGAGTAAGAATAACTGATATGCCCTCTTGTTCAATACTCTCTCTTCGAACTGTTCGTCCGTTTCGTCCACTTGCTGTTCGTCAGCCTTTAAAATTTTTTTTTTGTTACAAAAATGAAAAAAAAATCATTAAAAATATTTTTCTTACTGGATCCACTGAGGCGGGTAAATCATAGTCTCCACCCCACGGAGAATGAACCCTCTCCGACATGCCCGCGTGAGGCGTTTGCGACGGTAATTGGTCGTCGTAGCCCATATTTGCCATCTGTGACTAAAAAATATATAAATTATTCCAATTAAGATCGACACGAATCTATAATAACACATAAAGGTCCGCCTTTGCAGGTTGTTAAAGCATCAGAAGTGGGATTAGTCGCTAGAAATTTAGAAAATTTGTACCGCCAGATGGCGTTATACTCTGTTTTTTTTTCTCAGGTAAGATTTCGACAGACGATGACAGAAAAAAAAAGCAGATGACGTCCATGCCAATCCATTTATTTAACTAAAAAAAGTTTCTAATATTTTTTAAGTTAACTATGGATGGGTTTATATAGAAACCCGTCATGCGTCATCTCTTGTTGTTTTTAACCAGTTTTATTAGTTTATTTCAAAAATGACAGATCATATTTCAATATTATTGGTTTAACGGAAAGATAACGACAAACGGACGCCGATGCGTATAAACTCGACTTAAGATTTTTCAGAGTTGTCAAACTCCTGCCAAATTATAGGTTATCCTTTTGTGTCAAATTATGTCAAATAGAAATGATAAATATTTTGCATTTTGGACTGTGTTATTACGTGTGTTTCGTGATTTTTAAAATTAAGTGGAGGAAAACTCAAAGGGGAAATTAAGTATTGACCCCATAGACTTAAAATAAAATATAGACTACACTATTTACATCTCAACGCGGACAAACAACCTTTTTTGTACACATGTTTACTTCTGGGTACAGTCGACCGAGCCTTCCTCATCCAGCCTATGTTGTCACGTCTTTAATATTATCAATATTTTTTTTTCTTGTTATACACATATATTGAGATATTAATACTACAGTTTAATAAAGTAGGTTTTAATATTCCATAGATGTATTAAATAGTCCTTATACTACTAAATTATAAGTCGGATACTGTTTAAAAAGGATAAGTTCTTTACAATATGACAACACCGATTAGAGGCGAGGGAGCCTATTCATTCATTTATTACCTTGTAGTACGTGTCGCACGTGTGCGGTAAAGCTTTGTTGCCGCTATCTCCCCGGCTGTATTAACGCATTTTCTTAGCTTGTAGTGCTTAAGTGTTTATTTTATTGACTTTTTCTGTTCAAGAACTATAAAATATGGTTCGCCAGTGCCAAATTTGCAAGAAATTTGACTTAAATAATCCATTTAAGTCTTGAAACGACTTTTGACCGGTAGGCAACTCTCAATTTACCCATTGGGAGTCAGTGGCGTTGTTGTAGAAAGGCGCTTATTTAGATAATATTTTAGTAAAATGTAAAATCTGAATTTTTTCTCTTACATTACATTATTTACTTACTTACATTGTAACAAAATCATAATTATAACCCTGTTAATAATTAATAATGTTTTTATTAAAAATATATTCCGGTTTATTCTAAAATTATCTTCAGAATCTAAAATAACATACAAGAATTTTAAAATGATATTACATTATGAAACAATATTTTTTAATATACCGGGTCGTCTCAAAAAGTGGCTCAACCCTATAACTTTTTTATTTTTTCAGATAAAAAACAGATTTGTATGTTAGTAGGTATATGACATAAATTAGGATTTATTGACGTATGCAATTGTTTTTGGTCTCTTCCTGTTTCACCGAAATGATTACATCTTTTGATTTTTAAAGGCACCCTCGGTATATTGCTACTTTATTCGATAAAAATGACACTCTGAATAGAATGACATATCATATGTCAACTTTTGACATTGTCGCTTAAAAACATATCCTATTTTAAATTTCAATCCAGTTTTTTTCAATCCACTAAGTTTTAATCAAGGAGCCTTGGAAATATAGTTTTGATCGTCTATCGGTTTCGTGTCTTGTCTAGCCGGTTAAAAGATGTACAAATCGTATTTTTAATCATACATATGTCAATTTTTTCAAATGGAACAAGGGTGACTCATTAGCATATTTGGAAAAAGCATTTTTTATGAATATATTGATACCACACACTTGGTATTTCGAGTCAAATTGTCGTTATGAACCGCGTGTTACAATTACAATTAAACCATATGCGAAAATGTCAAAAGTTGACATATGATATGTCATTCTATTCAGAGTGTCATTTTCTATCGAATAAAGTAGAAATATACCGAGGGTGCCGTTTAAAAATTAAAAGTTATAGTCATTTCCGGTGAAACAGGAATGACCAAAAACAATTGAATGCGTCAATCAATCCAAATTTATTTCATATACTAACATACTAAATCTTGTTTTTTATTTGAAAATATAAAAAATTATGGGGATGAGCCACTTTTGAGACGCACCCGGTATAATAAAGACAGTACCGAGTTAAATAAATGTAGTTTTTATTTTATCCACTTCCTATCACCTTCCTTGCTTTAATGGAACAGATTTATGTTTTCTCTAATTTACATAATAAGACATCACTTAACCAGAAAAAAAATTACAACAATCATATTTTTTTTTCTCTCCCTGGCGCCGATTCTATTATATCTGTGGAATAGATCCTGTTTTGATTAATATTAGGGGTTGTAAATGTTTGACTAAAATTAATAATTTATTATTAATTTCAAAAATTACCTAATTTCGATTATAAAATTTCTTCTATAACGTGTATTTTATTATTTTTATCCTTTTTGGACTCTTTATAGCTTCATTAAAATAAAAAAATTACCCGGCTATGATACGGAGAGTTCAGGTGTACTTGAGAAACGAAAGACAGTGTTGTGTTTCTCGGCAGAGTCGTCAGGGAACGACCGTTACGACAAAGACAACCTATCTATCGCTCGTGTCGCACTCGTTATAACCTAAAACAATAACACAACAATAACAAGACAGTGTCTGACCGCATGTTCCAGCTATTTATGAATGAGATGCTCAGTCTATATTTTATTTTAAGTCTATGATTGACCCAGACCATAATATTTGGTGCCCAGAGATTATGGCCAGAGTGTTGTATTAGCCACAAATAAAGTTTGTATACTATATTGTATATGATACAAAAACTGGAGTATCTGTAAAATAGCAGCACACGATAGGTAAATAATAATCATATTGAATAATTGTATTGATAAATGTAAGAATAAACGCAGGAAGTTGGTTGAGCTTGAAACAAGGCTGGAAAGCAGGAAATCTTTGTGGTGTTTTTTAAAATACACCCTTGCTAGTTTTGTATTAACACATACCGTAATTGTTTCTAATAAAATAACTCGGGGAAATCCCGGTACCGAAAGTACCGGGAATTCCCGGTTAGTTTGACACGTCAAAGAACTGGGACGCGAAAATATTAATTCCCGGTCCTTTCGGTACTTCCAAGACTCGGTAATAATAATTAAAAACATATTTTTTGTTACGTGCGAAAGATTACTTTTGATACTTTCTAGCGATCAAAATCAAACTCTTCTAAATAATGAAGATATTTCTTGTTGTTCTTGCTTCTTTTCTCTTTTGAAGTTCCTATAATATTTATTATGTTATGTTTTGATAGATATTTGCATATTTAATTCAATATTTTACGGCTATTGTCTCAAACTCAGTTAAGTTGGTTTTTGTTGTTTGATGTCAAATATAAGTTATAGTCTGTGAAACGAATAACTTTGAATTTGACAGTTCCCGCAGGCTTTTCTAGTGTTAATTTTATTAGGTTAGCAACTTGCGGCTATGCCGTCTCTAATAGAACAGCCTTGGAGCGAGATTTATGATGTCACGCTAGTTAGATACTACGGATTAATAAATATGTTGTAGAATACATGGAAAATATAATAATTATTCTTCGTATTTTAGGTTTGTATTTTAAAAATTATAAAGTTTGCATAAAATATACATAACATACAGTTAATAAATACAATATATATATATACCTATTTATAGTAATAAATACTTTGGCAAATAAACTATGAACCATACAAATACAGCAAATGTTTTACGATATACAAATAATGAATAGGTGCATAAGATAATGGGTAAAATGTAAAATATATTTTAAATTTTGGGGTTTGACAATCGATCTAATTTCACAAAAAACATTCAATATCTACTAATAGTGATGTATTATTATTTGCATTCACAAAATGTATATGTATATTTTGCAAATATCAATGTTCAAAAAATTATATTTACCAATAATACAATATCATAGAAAAAAAGGCGTCAGCGATGGCTATGAAATAAAAATCGCTGTCATGTTATATGTAAAATTGTTCTAAAATTTTTCATTTTCTTGAGATTTAGGTTCGGGAAAAACGCTGATTAAGTTTTCATTTGGTTTTTCATTACTTTTTTTTGGTTTAAAAAGAACGTTTCGGCTAACATTATAGTCTTCATCAGTGTTCTATCATATGAAAAAAATAGTGTCGAATATAATCCAAAAAATTTCATTCACAACCTAACCTAACACCACATAGTATTTACTGCAATTAATACATTAATATAAACTTCTCAAAAGATGGCCACATATTTTTTAAAATTATTATCCTTAGCACTAAAACTATCTACATTGACTATGGCTGAAAGCGTACTCCATAGCCAATGTAGATAGTTTTAGTGTATAATATTTAGTGTTTTCCATGTATTCTACAACATAATAATTAATCCGTAGTATCTAACTAGCGTGACGTCATAAAGCTCGCTCCGAGGCTGTTCTATTAGAGACGGCATTGGTCCGATATTTAGAAATGTCTAAAGCTGATGACATTTTACTTTTGAAAATTATGACATTTCGTGTTGATTTTTGCAAGAAGAGGAAGAACTGTCACTTGTTTTATTATTTTCCTTTTCTATTTCGTAAAAGTAAAAAGAGTTACCTATCTGATTCGTTCAGGCACTCAATTTAAAGAATATCAGTAACTTTTTTGACAGAGGGAATTTAGATTTGCCATGTTGGTAAAAAATAACGGTCAAAATTCAAAGTTATTCATTTTATAGACTATATCTATACTTTTTACTTCTTTACTTGTGTTCATATTAATTTTCTCACGACTGATTACTTAATAATTTGATATTATCACAGATTAGGTATACTATATGTATACAGATAAAAATCTTATCCCTAAATTGTTTTTTATGACAAGCAAACGAGTAAAATTTCGTGTGCGCAAAAATAAACTCGCGTAAAATAACAATAAACAGCGTAATAGGGAGATATCGCTAAACCGAATAGCGTGCATGCACGTTAATAAGGCCAGGTGTTATTTCCTTTACGTGAGGTGGTATTAACTCTCTTCATTTATAGATATCGGATCGGAAAGAATTCTGATCGCGTCGCGTCCGCTATTCAAACTTAACCTAACTTTGAATTTAAAACTTTGAAATTGTTTTGTTTACTAGGTATTTTAAAACTAAAGGGCTAGGGTGCTTATTTCCAGTGCTTTATTGTTCAACGTCTGCCAGTGGGTTTAGGGCAACAAGCAACAAATTCTCTTAGAAGGGCTAAGTCGTCATCTGCTGTAAACCTAAGCCTCTTTATAGGTTCTTTAGTATTGGAAGAGGTGGAATCCATATTTTGGGCCCATATTTATTTAATTAAAACTAATCCCAGCTACTTAAACATCAAATTACCTAATAAAACTAAAGTAATAATTCAAAACAATTCAAACATAACCTAAAATAAAAGATCTCGCCGGCCGTTTAAGCAATTTTTAAACGTTATTTAGAAATAGCGCTTGGTGTAATTGATCCGCAAATTACGTCAGACGGTAACTTTATTAGCGGGTGTTGCGTTAAAAATTGACTGCATGACGCTATTCGGTTTTCCGATATCTCTCTAATAACTGTGCCGGTCAGGCGCTGTGCACAATTTTAGAGGCCATAAGTGGGCGTGCTGTGTGCGCAAACTAGTAACCTAACTAGTGCCCGATTCCGAAAATTGGAACCACGAAAAACAATAAAGAAAAAACAAAGTTTATAATCTGTATAATCTGTGACATTATTTTCATTAAAAATCTCAATTTTTTATCACTTTTACTTTGAAAAACCATCCCTTGCTTTCTGATTGATGAACTGCACCACCATTGAACAAAAATAAGTCAGTACCGAAAGTACCGAAAGTACCGAAAAATAAACGGGAACAGGATAAAATTCACTGTTTGTTTAATTTAGAAAATCTTACCTGGTCATAGCCCATATTTTCCATGGGATCCAGATGCTCCTGTAGCTGATCCAGCGGTATTTCAGGTAGATGGGGCTGAATAGGCGTCTGAGGCACGCCCAAATCTTGACCCATAAGTTGCGGATGTACGCCCATCTGCTAACGTTATTTATTAATATGGGGAATTACGCATATTAAGGGCTGGCAAAGGTTAGTTTTGGGTCGAGATTCCCGTATGTAAGAAGAGTGCAATGCGTTTATAATGTACTGAACAAAGAGAGAACAGTAAAAACGTTGCCAAACGTATGAAATAAACCGAGAAACTGTGCACATTGCTAAGAGACGTGGAAGGGGATATAGCAGATTCTTCGCGATCGACCGGTCGACCCAATCAGTACTATTAGTACTTAAAAATCTAGGAAAGAGTGTACAGAGTGGTCGAAATTGGTTTGTTTTAACAGAGAAAACCTATTTCCTGACTAGATAGAGTAAAACCGACATAGATGTCATGGGCTTGATTTCTGGGACACGTTTAATGGCATAAACCGCCTGTTAATATTTTCACTCCCAACTGAGATACAGTCTTTTTGAATTTTTTTACCATTTTGAAAATTGCCAATAACTTTTTTATTTCGCTCAATAATAAAATTCTGTAAAAACCTCCTCAAGGCACTTTTTTAAGCACAATCCAGTGGCGTAGTCAGTTTTTTTCTATACTTGCTCTTTTTGTCAGAAATAATAAAAAATATAATTTTTTAAAAGGAAATTATAGTTGCCTATGAACTTAAAAAAATGCTGGCGTTTAACCCTTTCCAACGATATAAAGTTATAGGTATTTATTTCTAAGAATGAGAGAAATATTAGGTTTTTTATCTTTATATCGAAGCGGGTGTGTAATCTTTATTGTGTGTTGACCTAGTTGCCTAATTATTTTTTATCACAATTTAATATTCTATATTATTATTTATCTGCATAATTAAAGACTTTTGAAAAGGTAAATCAACATTCTATATTGGTATTACCAATTACAATTAAAACGCCAGGGTTACAACTATTAAATGGAGAATTTAGAGAGAATCGAATTGGAATAAGGGACCTCATATCTTAGCCTGCTAGGTCCTGTCATTTAACTTCTTTCGACATTTTTGTGGGGGAAATTATTAAATACCTAATATATTGTTGCGGGCCGGTGTGGACTCGACCTAACCTCACAATATGGCCCGCCCTCGGATGACCTTAACATCGCATAGACACCGCAATGATTCATTCGTTCGAGAAGAATCGAGTCCCACTGGAATGGACTAGTACATACGAGAACATTCGAAAACCTTCTCTACGCACCTTACGATCAATGGACAATTCTAGAGTTCTTTACCTGTCGGTATAAAAGCCGGCGGCGGTGGCCTACAGGGGGCAGTTATAAATATACAGTTGACGCGCTAAAATTCAAAATAAATTCTTAGTTATAAATCGTTTGTAAATAGTTCTATAAGTCTGTTATCGTTATTATTTTTGTTAATTAGTGTTAAATAAATAGTGTTTAAATAAATTGTGACTTTCTATCCACACGGAACCGACGAAAAACGTAACAATATAAAAACCATTGGGACGAGAGAAGAATTGCAGAAGGCTGCTAGGCAAGGTTTTGGACTTATTACACCTTTTCGCAGTTCGCCTAATAAATCGCTGTAAATCTGTGCGCAAAAGATGTTTATTATGTATTCAACAAGGAGGTGCTCAGTTTGAACATCTAGATGATTTTTTTAGAAAACTATATTCGTCACTCAAAAAATACCTTTTTTAATTTTGTTCTTTATTTATTTTATCGATTTCAATTGTAATACTAATATAGAATGTTAATTTACCTTTTCAAAAGTCTTTAATTATGCAGATAAATAATAATTAGGCAACTAGGTCAACACAAAATCAAGGCCCACTCTGATACAAAGATAAAAATCTAATATTTCTCTCATTCTTGGAAATAGATATCCATAACTTTATATCGTTGGGAAGGGTTAAGCGCCAGAATTTTTTTAAGTTCATAGCTAACTATTATTTCCATTTAAAAAATTATATTTTTAATTATTTCTGACAAAAAAACTAACATAGAAAAAAACTGACTACGCCACTGGATTATGCTTAAAAAAGTGCCTTAAGAGCGTTTTTACAGAATTTTATTATTCCGCGAAATAAAAAAGTTATTGGCAATTTTCAAAATGGTAAAAAATTTTTGGTAAAAATAAATGAAATTGAGTTGGCTTTCGACAGTGGTCGCGCTATTAGAACTCTGAATTCAAAAATCGATATCTCGAAATTCATTAGAAATAATTGATTGTAGTTTTTTTCAAAAACTTTCTTATATTTCTGCTATATTTTCTTCGCAGACAGTATGTGCAAATCTTTATAAATAAAAAAGTTACACGATTGCTGAAAATTGCAATGCACTAAAAGTAAACGGATGTTTTTTTTTAAATTTTGAATGAAAAAAAAAACAAGCCTATCGAATTTTTCTTATTTGAACATCTTGTAAAAATCCTTAACTTCAAAATAATAAAAACGTTTCAATATCTAAAGTGGTTCTTGAGTTATGGCGTGTTATGTGTTAAAAAGTTGATTTTTTAAATTATCGCGATTACTGACGTTTTCCCGTTATAAAAAAAATTGACACCTTAACGATATCCTTATAATTCCATTTCAGATGCTCAGAAACATATCTAATGATTTTATCTCGTTATCTTTTCGAAAATAAGTCTTGATTATACACTTACTTTACTTGATAGGGAAAGGCCTGCCGGAAAAGTATGGCAACGCCGTCGCATTTCTCTCACTCCGACTTAATAAGATCCCTATGCGATTTACTTCCACACATGTAAATGCCGACCCAAAAGTAAGAGTTGCCGGCACGGTATAACGGCGATATTTACCTGATCCGGTGCCAAATGGGGTATTTCACCCTCGGGTATGTGCAGTGGCGTTTGCCCGGGCATAACGGCGGGCGTGTCCGGATACCCGCTTCCGACATAACCGGGCGTGGGTGGGGGGAGGCCAAACGAACTTCCGGGCGTCCAGGGTGGCAAACCTAATTGCGAAGGGTGCATGGGGGTTCCAGGAGCGTGAATTGGAGTGCCTGAAAGAGTTTAAGGTAAATACATAGACCATAGATATTGATTTTTCAATTAACAAATACATAACATAAATCTTAGTAAAAAATAAAATTCTTTCAATACACAGACATTTTAAAGTTTCTTTGTCTCACCCCAAGAACCTTAAACTAATAGGATTGCTCATCCTCATAAGACGTACGTTCGCCTCTTCCCGCGCTTCAGCTGACAGTTGTGACGTCATTGTAATCCTCGTCATGATAGTGTGTATTATTAGTTGCATATGGTAAACTTATAAAAGTAACAGTTGAGAAATTTTGAGTTAATTATTTTGTCAATTTTAAATGTGAAAAAGGTGTTTTTAAAGTTTTTAGAGCTATAGAGTGTATAAATACGTTCATTTTGTGTTGTGGATTGTGACAAAGTGCTTACTAAGTGCCTACGATATTGTTTATTAATTATTTTAAAGCAAAATATGGAAATACTCTAAAAAGAATGCCTGAAAAAGGTGATGCTGGGAACTACTGTTCTTAAAAATGCATTATCCGAGTATTTAATACGTTTTATACAGTTAATTTTCTATACTGCATACATATAAGGTCGTTAAATAAATAAACCTTTGAATAAGAAGACTAAGGAAGGAGCATATCAAAAATCTTAGGTACACCGCGATGGGCCTCAAATATGGCCGACTTAAATTCCGGTTTATCAGTGTCGTTCTAATTTTATTTAAAAAATGTAAAACTATGATGTAGGGTAGACGTGGGGTAGACTCAATAATTTGTTGTTTTATTTTACGTTATGAATAAATGTTGGTAGTTATTAAAATTGTTATAAAAATATATAATTGTAATAAAAATAGATAAGTTATAATAAGTATTTATTACCACAAACATCGGATACGCTACTGAAGCAGGTAAGTCAAATTAACGTATCTAAATTCTTTGACATCTAATCTTTGACAAGTAATAAATAAAAGCTAAAATGCAAGAAAAATATATAATTTAGTTAATTTAAGTGAATTTCATAAATGATCGGTTTACTACACGTATGTATACTTACTAGCGAAAAGTTGTTCCATTATTTCACTCAATTTTTGCCGAGATCTACGGCACGCTACACAACCAATTATTTTAGAGTCTTTTTCGATAAATCGCGATAGTGTCACTGTTAATTTAAGTGCTGCCACAATTTCCATCTAGATTTACTACCTTTATACAACTATCAGTAGTAGAATAAATAATAAATAACATAAAATAAGCTCCATAAAGACTGACAAATCCACAAAATTTCAAATCAAATTCAAATGTGTCAAATGAATCGTCAAACAGAACTGTCAAGGATCCCCACCCTAGAGTGCTTTTATGGTGCTCTTTCCGCCCACCATGCATGAATACATGGATAGCATTATGCACCTTCCTTAGTCTTCTTATTCAAAGAAATAAACTAAATAATGAACGTTTTGCACCCGGCAACCAATAATGCACGTGTGTGTATCATTGGTTGCCAGATAAGGACTAATAATCATGACAAGAACTACAATGACGTCACAAAGCGAGGAGTTTTCGCATGCGCCTGGCTGACACTTTTGGCTAAATGAACAGTCCTATTAGGTTAACTGTTCTTGGTCTCACCCCATTAGGTAACTGTCATTAAAGAGCAATTGTTAATTTGATGTTTGGTCATATTATGCAATGTCAGTACATCAGAACGTCAATGGTAATAATAAAAGTGTCTGCTAAAAAACTGAAGTGTTTTCTAAGCGGTTGTACTTTTTTAAATAGAGTCAAATCAATAAAAATCAATTCTTAAGAAGACGTAAGATTTTTAACAGAACATCAACGGTTTTTATAGACAAAAAATTATTATTGAATAGTTATATTTAGATATTTTTAATAGTTTTTTTCTTTGTTCTTTGTGTTTTTTTTTTGCTTCCGACGACGGGAAGAAATACAAAAATTGTTTATAAAAAATAACTTATATAGTTTAAATGGCGATATAACCATTGGACTTTTTTGAAGTCCTGTATAATATGTCTAAAACAAACGCAAGTAAACCGAACAAACTTTTATATCAGTGGCTTGCAGTGCTAATCAAAGCCAGGCAGTTAAAAATTGGCAAAATTAAATAAACACCATCATAATTCGTTTTTACTCTCGATTGGGAAGAAAAAATTACAAATCCCCAGATTGTTCATTAGGTATGAGTTAAGTTCGTTATAATGCAACGATATGAAAAAAAAATTTTATAATTTTATCGGGGGTAGGTAACACCTTTTTTGCGTACATTATATTATGTACGCCACTGTTTTATAACCTACCTGGATGATGAACAGGGGTACCGATAGGCGTACCAGGATAATGCAGCGGCGTCCCGGGATGGTGCAGAGGCGTCCCAGGCGGCGGGATCGGCGAATGCTGCGGAATAGGCGTCGTGGCAGGCAGCGGCTGATCCGGCGACTGCTGATAGGGCGGAGGTAAATGTATCGGCGTTTCCTCGGGCATATGTATCGGAGTCTGGCTCTAAAACAAACATGTATACAATAAATGTAAAAAATAATAAAAAGTAAAAAAAAGTATTTTAGTTAACGCCCCCTTTTTGTTACTAAGGTTAATCTGGCTGTTCAACTCAGCCAAAAAAATAATACATTTATAAGTATTTAACTAACCGGTTCTTCCACGTTTTTTCTTTTTCTACCCCTTTTGGCGGGGGTTGGTGTGGGTGCTTCCATACTAGGTTCCTCGTGGTCTCTCACTTGATCCAGAGCCAAGGAATCGGCGTCGCCCAACATGGCAAAGTCCTCCGTTCGGATGGATTTGAGCGTTAGATGCCTTTGATAGATCTGGAATAAAAAAAGATCGGTAAAAAACTGCTTGCAACGCCCAATGAGCTGATCTGTTACCTTAAAAAGTATCCGTGCTGGTATCGATCTTGCCGGTAGAGCAAACAACTTTTCGACGCCTCCAGTTTCCTTCCAGTGCATCAGTCTTTTGGTTGGAGGGGCCAGATCCAGTGAAGTAACTAAATAAAAGCAAAAATACGTCCATGCTTCAGGCTACTAAGCGATCCATAGTATAGTCTATAAAATGAATAACTTTGAATTTTGACCGTTATTTCTTACCAACGCGGCAAATATAAAATCCCTCTATCAAAAAAGTTACTGATATTCTTTAAATTGAGTGCCTCAACGAATCAGATTGGTAACTCTTTTTACTTTCGTGAAATAGAAAAGGAAAATAATAAAACAAGTGACAGTTTTTCCTCTTCTTCCAAAAATCAACACGAAATGTCAAAATTGTCAAAAGTAAAATGTCATCAGCTTCTGACATTTCTAAATATCAGACCAATGCCGTCTCTAATAGAACAGCCTCGGACCGAGATTTATGACGTCAGGCTAGTTATATATACTACGGATTAATAAATATGTTGTAGAATACATGGAAAACATAACTATTCCTCGTATTTTTGGTGTGTATTTTAAAATCAAAGTTTGGTTTTCAAATACAAACCAAAAATACGAGGAATAATTATGTTTTCCATGTATTCTACAACATATTTATTAATCCGTAGTATCTATCTAGCGTGACGTTATAAATCTCGCTCCGAGGCTGTTCTATTAGAGACGGCATTGCGTCAGCATGGCCGCAAGTTGCGAACCTAATAAAATAAACACTAAAAAAGCCCGCGGGAACTGTCAAATTCAAAGTTATTAATTTCACAGACTATAGTAAGCGATCCATTATGAAAGAAATAGTTGGTTGTTCCGATATTGCTCATTTGATTAACAAATAAGACATTTAAGAAATTCAAATAATAACCTTTATTTCAAATAATTCAGTACATAGTTTTCAGTACATAAGAACATAAAATGAAATAACAAACATAATACAAAAAAAAAACAGTGTCTTAAGAGGTATTTCAGGGTGTAATACAATTTAACAAATTTACTAAATGTTAGACAAATTATATTTTTTAATACAATGATTTTCATGTTTGTTTTATTATTGTTGTACCCAGATCATATTGTAGATATGTTACAATTTGTACAGGATGTACATTGCCACAATTCTAGAGCTATACCTGATTTTTATATACGAAATGAAACCTCGTCTTTTGTACAAAATAGCCTCTTTCATAAGAGGTTAATAGAATTTAACAATTAGCAACCCATCAGGGCAAACTCTTTGCGTTCAATTTTCTCGGAAACCATCGCTCTGGGTGATGTGCAACAAGAATACCTTTTTTTGTAGGAGAAAGTATGTAGTTTTCAAAAAATAAACCCACGTTGCAAAAAAAAATAACCTCAAAAAGATATTCGCGAAACAACCTCCTACCCTTGGAAAAGCTACCCTTTCCGCTTTTCCAAATAATTTTTCAGTATCACCGTTTGATTTAGGGTCAAAATTTATGGCAGAGGATTTTTTTTCGAAATTTTGTCTCGTTTTTTAAGCCTACAATTGCAAAAGAATCGTTTTTTAAATTCACCCTTTCAGTGCCCCTAACTCCCTTAATATGCATTTTTCACCCTATACTTATAGGAACTTTTTTTACTATTTTTAGGAGTACTATCACCCCCCGATTTTTTTTACACCATTTCAATGACACCCCGTATAAAAAAAAATATGAAAATTTCATTAAAAACTTGAAAATTTACAAGAAAAAACACAGTTTGATACAAATTTTGCATAGATACCAATTACTAATACCAAAATCCTGTAACAAAATATTGCCAACTATTTCAGTCATTGTAGTTCGCACCATACATATTTTGCAAAATATTACAATAATTGTAATCTGTCAAAATAATCGCTGGACAAAATCTTTCGCTGGACAGACTCTAGATCATATTAAATCGACTTACCTATATCGCTGGTGTCGCTGAGTTGGTTCTTCATCTCCTCCCCCGAAATGTTCTTCACCTCGTCGATGATCAGCTTCCGTTTCCGCTTGGTTTTAGTGGTCCCTAGGAAATATATGTCTATTCAGAGATTAGAGCAGTTCTCGGGATGAAAAGATAAAAGATAGGGGTACATGGGAATCTGAACACATTATTTACTGTAAAATTGACAATTTTTTTTTTAATTTAGACATTCTAAGGATACACAACAGTCCTTTTTCGTCCAAGAAAAATTAAAATTTATAGTCAGTCGATACCAATTAAAACTGTATAATAATTAAATCAATCAGAAATTTTCTTTTTCTAATAACTTATACAATATTGAAAAATGAAAAGTTACAGGAATATTTTTTTTATTAACTCTTCAAGAGTTAATAAAAAAAGAAATATCAACAGTAGTTATTAGTTTCTGATAAAATTAAATAGAAAAATATACTTATATTTCACCTTTTAATGCTGAGGCATCTACTGGAGGTAAGGCGAAGCTTTCTTCGTCGTTCTGAAGCAAAGTTGTCTGGTCTGCCACCGGCGCTTCTTCGGCTTGAGGTAGCTGAAAAATAAGTTAAAAATAAGCCTATATATTGAGTAGCGGTTCGTTACAACAAGCACAAGCATAGTCAAATGCAAAATGCCAACAATCCGTTTGTTTATTTGCAATTTCATGTTACCATAAAGCCGCGTCCAAGCTACTCGAACAAAACGTTCGCGAACATATATAATTCACACTATACAGGGTGTTTCAAAACAAATGCGAAAAACTTCAGGGGGTGATTCCTTGTTCAAAATAAAGGGTAGTTTGCTTCATAAACGTTGGGTCAAAAGTCAACCATTAGGGAGATATTGCGGTACAAAGATGGCGGAAAAATAATGTTTTTATTTTTTATCTTAAAAACGAAAAGAGATAGACTAATAAAATTTTATGGAAGCATTACTGTTATGAAACCCCACTTTCTGGTATTTTTTTCGCTTTTTTAAAATGAGTGGAAGGGGTTGAAATAAACTACCCCTATCATTCTTGTTAACGAAATTTAAAAAAAATCTTATCAAACACACGCAAAAAAATTAATTTGGATAGTTTAGTTTGTTTAGAAACTTTTTTATCTCTTGTATTTTTTTGATAAAACTCACCGATTTGAAATTAAAAAATAAAATGTAAAGCATTACATGTCAGGACAAAAAACATTTTCTGATAAAGAATCTAGTGGGCTGCTGTAATTTTTTTAGGAAAAAATCTAGTCGGCCGCTGTTACTTTTAGGATGTTCCTAATATTATTTTATTTGACATTACTCTACTGCAATACGTTATTATCTAGATGATTATTGTTATCGTTATTATCACTAGATTCTTAATCTAAAAATGTTTTTTGTCCTGACATGTAATGCTTTACATTTTATTTTTTAATTTCCAATCGGTGAGTTTTATCAAAAAAACACAAGAGGTAAAAAAGTTTCTAAACAAACTAAACTATCCAAATTAAAGCATTTGCATGTGTTTGATAAAATTTTTCTTTAAATTTCGTTATCAAGAATGATAGGGGTAGTTTATTTCAACCCCTTCCACTTATTTTAAAAAAGTAAAAAAATTACCTGAAAGTGTGTTTTCATAACAGTAATGCTTCCATAAAATTTCATTAGTCTATCTCTTTTCGATTTCAAGATAAAAAATAAAAACATTATTTTTCCGCCATATTTGTACCGCGATATCTCCCTAATGGTTGACTTTTGACCCAACGTTTATAAAGCAAACTACCCTTTATTTTGAACAAGGAATCGCCCCCTAAAGTTTTTCGCATTTGTTTTGAAACACCCTGTATACTCGTAGCAGCAAGTCGTAAACGACGGCACAGCCCATCGCATCGGTCCAGAGAACTGAGATGCGGGGAAGAATGCAACAACCAGTTTGCTCTATAGATCTAGGATGCGTTTAGGTAGTCGCTGTTTTTTCGAGTGCCTGAATTTCGAGTGCAAGCATTTTATTAAATAAATTAACCGGTAAACAGTTTAAGAACTTTTGTCAGAATCAATATTTAGCTGAGGGTTACAGGGGTCTTTTGGTAGATTATTCGTTATAGAGTATTTTTAAGACCTGTATTCATTTTCAGCCGATTCTACCAGGTGTTTTTCAAAAGGGGCTCACTTTTTTACTTTTTTATTTTTTCAGATAATACAACGAAATTTGGTTTGTTAGTATATATGATATAAATCGGGATTGATTGACGTATTTAATTACCTTCGGTCGCTTCCTGTTTCACCGGAAATGACTACAACTTTGTATTTTTAGATCGTATCCTAAGTACTTTTTTACTTTATTGGATAGAAAATGACATTCTGAATAGAATGACATACCATACGTCAATTTTAGACAATTCCAATTAAATAAAAATAGCATTTTAAATTTCAATCTAGAGTGCCAAGACTGAGTTAAAACTATTAATTTGTAATCAAAGAACTTTGGAAACATATATTTGATCTTGTAATTTTTTTGTATCCTTTCATGGCCGTTTAAAAGATGCCCAAATCGTATTTTTAATGACAACTCCAATTTTTCAAATGGTACAAGGCTGGCTCAGCATATTTGGAAAAAGCATTTTTTACGAATAATTTGGTACCACATACTTGGTATTTGGAGTAACATTGTCGTTACGTTTTTTATGGCCATTTTTAAATTGAAAATGTCAAAAGTTGACATATAATATATCATTCTATTTAGAATGTCATTTCTATACAGTATAAAAATACCGAGGGTACCATTTAAATCAAAAGTTGTTGTCATTTCCGGTGAAATAGGTAGTGACCGAAAATAAATAAAAACGTCGATCAATCCTGATTTATGTCCTATACTAACATTCCAAATCTCGTTTTTTATCTAAAAAATTAAAAAAGTTATAGAAGTGAACCACTTTTCAGAAACACCCGGTATATTTATTTCTAAAAATGTAATGGTAAAATTTCATTTCCGGTGTCAAACTTCCTATTAAGTAGTAATTTTTAATTTCAGAATCCCATAATAATTCCAGTTTTTAATAAAAATAATCATAAAGGTCTTTATTAACAAAAATGAAATTATATGGACGAAGTCTAGCTACATAGCTATTCACACTCGACCCACAATAAAATTAAAATTATAAAATCTTTTCTTTGTGTAAACAAATCAGTTGTAAATGTTTTTCACGATCCCAGTCAATAACTGCGTCTTCCATTGTCGAATACTCGGTAAAAAATAAAAATCACAGATCGACGCCCGAAATTAAATGAGACCCTTCCAAGTGTCCGGTACAATGTCTGCCGAAATGCACGCCGTTCGCTCTTTTTGATTTACCGATACCCGTCGGAAAAAGAACGCGCGCGCTCTAGCCTAGGCAGACGCACGCTCTGACGTACAAGCTAGCCGTTCGGCGCTCCTTAATAGGCCTAGGCTAGCTGTACTTGTTGGCTTTCTTATTTATAAATCTACCTATCTCACAATTTTCACTTAGTATCTGTTTAATTATATATGTTCGCGAACATTTTGTTCGAGTAGCTTGGACGCGGCTTTAAAAAATGATTTGCGCGGCGCGGCGAGGAGAGGCGCATCCGGTGTAAACGCACCTTTAAAAAAATGTTTCGGGCGGCGCGGCTGTGCCGCTAGCCGGTGTGAACGCACCTTTAGAATTACAGGATGTTAAAACTTTTTAAAATTAGGTTTTTTGTATTTATCTTAAATACCTTTATTTTTTTATTTGAAATTGCCGTAGGTAGTAATAATAACTAATAGCAATAATATTTAATAATAAATTAGGTAAAATATATAATTTATGTATTTTATTTACTGTGATTAATAAATATGAGGAATCTCCCCACAAGAGATGGTAAATGTTTTTGAAACACCCTGTATAAATAAAAGTTATTTTTTTTATATCTGGTGTCTGTATATGTATGTGTATATCCTATTTACGACTTTCTCAGTATATTTACAAATATTTACTATTTATAAATACTTACTTATATTTAAAAATAAGAATTTTTTTGGTCTTTTTCACGAAAATTGACAGTTTATATACACCAACAAACTTCTAAAATGTGTACTTACCTCGGGAGGTGCAGGAGTCGGTTGAGCGCTCCTCAAAGACCTCAAACTATGCGCGGGGGACTGCGGAGCTATCGACTGATGTGAAGGCGTCTGCGGTCTTGTTGAGGGATGTTGCGAATGCTCGTCCAACGGAGTTGGGGGACGACTACCTCCAGAACTAACCACAAATTAACATTTTAAAGTAATACGACAGCAACAAGCACACTTTTCTTTGAACTCTATTATAATAATAATTTCTTACCTCATTCCAACAGACGGAGGTCCTCCAAAATTGTCCATATCCCCATCATCATCACTATCTGCTGGCAAATCCCGTGCGGATGGTACTGGAATACTCGCGTCGACCGACGGTACTTCACCCATCGGAGCCTCATCGAATAATCCACCTTCAAAAAGTCCCCCAGCTAAAATTATATAATCAGATTTAGTTTTATACACCCTCAATTGAAATTTCTATGTTAACATACATATTAAATTATCATCTTGAACCCCTGTATCTATTTCCATCGATTGTTCATGAGCCTGAGTACCAGAAGTTGACGGCATTGGTTCTGTAACATCCTTTGGTATTGATTGAGAGTCAAGAACTGGTTCACTGAATAACAGATTACTCTAAAAAAACATAAACCTTTATTAAAACTGAAAAAAAAATATATATATATCAATAATTTTACTTGTTCCATCGATGGTTCTAGCCCTGTAGCATGCCTCATTAGTTCAGGTGTATCCGTATCAAAGCCCATATCTCCAAAACCATCATCATGGTTTACTAATGATATGTTACCATATTCCTCTCTCATAGTAATCTCTTCAGCACGAGACTGATTTAAACTAAACTGTGCTTCAATATCCACATCACTACAAAACATTAAAAATTACACAATATTGTCACTAATAAAAGAAAAAAGGTTACTTCAGTTCAGGAATTGTGGTATCAAAATCATGAAAAACTTCAGGTAAAGTAATAGCATTAACTGCCGCTTCCCTGTGTTCTTCGGGCAGGTCGACCATGCCCGGCCTAAAGGCCATCTTAATTTTAACAAAGGCTTCATTGCAATCCGCTAATAAGTACTTAGCTTTCCTTGAATAGATACGTACAACTCCGAGAAGCAGATGACCAGATGTACGAAGTGCCAGTTTTACTTTTGGTTTGATTATACCTTGAAATAAATTGATTTTTAAGTAAAACCTGTATTAGAACGTTGTTTAATTATAACAAATGTACATACCGTCTACTGAAGTTTCAATATTCGTCTCGAATACGTGAGCTTTGGTTATTTTCTTGTCCCAATGGGCAGCTAACCAAATACGGGCTAGCGGACCCTTTTTAGCCAAAATAAAATGGGAATAAAACATGTTTGTAAAACAATGTAATTCACTGCGGAATAGAAACTAATTCCTGCTTCTTTTATACCCTAAAATTCATAAAAATAAAAACATAAACAGTGCATATTATTTCATTTTGACAGATTCTAATGGGGTAGAGTTGGCGCCCAAATAATCCTTGTTGAAACTCACCGAAACAAAAAACTATTATGTTCCCGACTTTGTCCACATAGGCTCCAACTGGTTTAAAGCGAAATTTAAGGAATTTTCCATTCCAAAATACTTCAAATCTGACGAAGCATCAAGACAAGAAACCACATCGAAAACGTACGCGCAAAATGGCGGTTTCTGGCGTTTCGATGCGTGCCATAGATTTGACTATTTGACATGGTGGCAAGTGAAAAAAGAAATGGGCGTTTTGGAAGCATTCGTCTTGGGCGTAATAAACAAGTAAAAAATTAAAAATCCATAATCACAAAAGGTTTATTAATAAAATTTAATTGTTATTTATAAAATATCAAGGTTAAAATAATCAAATATCTCATTACAGTACGTTTAAATAAATTTTAATTAAGGGAAAAAAATAATAAAGTTTATTTACGTATTTGCCTATACATCTTCCACTTAAAAAATCACTCTGCATCTTCTCCGCATAGTAGACGCCACGGTAGACGCCGGTAGACGCCGAAGTATCCATTTTATAATCATTTTATACATCCGTGAAACAAACCCATCCTTGTCCACGAACTAACCAAAGAATAAACATTTGCAACGAAAAATAAAATAAAAATCCCTAAATTGGTATTGGGATAATTCGTTGTATTTGAAATTGTGTATTGTGTCAGTTTGCGTTTACACTTTTTCTAAAGAAATTTTCTTGAATGTTTTTACGGTTTTTCTATTTTAAGAGTTTTATATAACATGGAAACATCAACACCAAAAGGCCCTAATACTGGAATTTTTGAGTGGGCAAGTGCGACTCAAACTCCGCTGCGTAAACAAAGGCCCAGTGTTCTTTTTGAAAAGAATGAAAAGACTTGGAAGGTTTGTTTTTTTATCGTCTTTTTTTTACATTTTTCTATCAATTGAAAACTTTTAGTCAAATGATGACCACGAGCGTGCCAACAGAAGAGCCTCGATAGTAGCTCGCAGGTCTATTTTAGTACAAAATGCAGGAGCTGAAGATTCTCCAGGTTTAAACGACTCCATAAAAGCCCTAAGTGAACAGGATATCAAGAGCCAGTTATTTATCTGCTCAAAATTAAACGCAGAAAATGTAAAGTGCTTAATAATTGGTTTTTATTATCAATTTAGAAGATTTTTTTTAGAAAATCAATGCAGATAATGCGTGGAAATTAAAAGTTATAGAGCTACTAAATCAGTTTGTGAGGAAAGATAACCCTGATGTGTTGAAAGTGGCAGGAAACTCACTGGAAGTAGCGGGAAAGGTGTATGGTATCAGAGTTGATGATTTACATGCAGAAAGCTTGAAACTAGCTAGCAATTTGGCAAGAACAGTGGATCAACAAAAAAGAACTGGTATGTTTTAAAATAATAAAAAATGTCATGTTGGTCTCAATTTTTTTGTAAATTTTCTTCTAGAATAATGTAAACTTTCTTAAAACATATTGTTTTTAGGTGACGATAAAGAGAATGAGAATCCCAACGCATCTGAAACAGAAAATGGTCCCACCCAGAAGAAAAAAAGACAAAAAAAGAGAAGAAGTCTGCTCTGTGAAGGTAGAAAGCATACTATAAACCATGATGTGAAAACATTTAGGGAACCATTACCCAAACTCGAAAGTGCTGCATTCTCTGCTAAGGTTGACAATTCTGTCAGTGCAATAGAGAATTTATTCACAAATAATTTGAGGACGGACAATGCAGGTTTCAGGTTTATATTTCTGTGAGTATTGGAACTTTCTTTTTATTTTATAAATGTCTAATTATTTTTTTCTTTTTTTTTTGAAAGTTTCTTCTTTCCTTTTTTTTATAATATACTATCAATAAAATCCTATCACGTGTATAACCTGTATATGTTTTTTACAGGGCTGATGATAAAGGATTCTCATATTTACCTGGTTCAGATCCTTCGATCGTCCCTGAAACTATCACTATCGAAAATGACGAAATACCCAACGATTATAGAATATGCACGGCCTTTAAGGACTTCGAAGTCGACGTATGGGATCCCAACGGGGAAGCAGTCGAGTAAGACATATTTTTAACCAGAAAAAAAAACAAGTAAGATTTATTTTTATTTATTTTTAGCGTGTGTAGGAAAACCGCGAGCAATAGCGACATAGTTTTGGACGAGAACGGCGTACCCATCCCTGAATTGGACGGCTCGGTTCACAACGTGTTTCAGGAGCCTATAGACGATGACAGTAAGTTTTGATTTATACTGTATAATATACAAAGTGTTCTAAAATGTCAATATTCCCTGGGTATAGTGATAAATGAGGTCTAAATTATATGAAAATGAATTTTCTAAGAAATCTCGAAGGGATAGGTAAAAAATTGTATAATACAATTTGATAAACAATTAAATTGTGCATCTGATTCACGTAAAATGAAAAGGTAAAAAGAACAGGGTGTTCTATTTAAATTAAACAAGTTATTGCCGTTTAGAGCTAGTAATTATTTAATATACATTTTTAGACACTAAAAAATTCAAAATTAATTAATGATGATTTTTTTTCTAATTCTTAGAAGTCTAAGACATGAAAAAATAATATGGTCATGATTCTTAAACGAAAAGCCGATTTTTAGTGGAGGAAAGAAAATTAAAATCTTCATTTTTTTAACCTTTGTAAAATATGTCACTCACTAAAAATCGTCAGTAAATGTCTTTTATACTTCTTTATACTCAGGAATTTTTTAGAATTTTTTGAAGTGGTGGAACAATATGAAAAAAATTTAAAAAAATCAGTAGAAAATATTTTTTTATTAAAAATACATCTTTGCCAGAAATAAACATAAAGATTATTATAAAGAAATTAGTCCGAGAAGATTTTAGAAACAAAAAGGTTTTAGAAAAAAAGAGTTCTTAATTTTTTCGATATTGTTCCACCACTTCACAAAATTTTAAAAAATTCCTGAGTATAAAGAAGTTTAAAATAAATTTTCTGACGATTTTTAGTGAGTGACATATTTCACAAAGGTTAAAAAAATGAATATTTTAATTTTCGTTCCTCCGCTAAAAATCGGCTTTTCGTTTAAGAATCATGATAATATTATTTTTTCATGTCTTAGACTTAAAGCCGCGTCCAAACTACTCGAACAAAACGTTCGCGAACATATATATAATTCACACTATATACTCGTAGCAGCAGGTCGTAAACGACGGCACAGCCTATCGCATCGGTCCCGAGGACTGAGGTGCGGGGAAGAATACGACAACCAGTTTGCTCTATAGATCTAGGATGCGTTTAGGTAGTCGCTGTTTTTTCGAGTGCCCGAATTTCGAGTGCAAGCATTTTATTAAATAAATTAACCGGTAAACAGTTTGTCGTTGAAGAATCAATATTTAGCAGGCGGAGGGTTACAGGGGTCTTTTGGTATAGTCTGTCCAACGAGAAGATCCTTGACAGTGATATATGTGTCTGTCATTTTAATTTCAAAGTAGTTATTTTATTTTACAAAGAAATAAGTTGGTACAACTGGAACGCATAGCAGGATATATTTAAAATTTGATTGACAAGATGACAAGTGATTACTTCAAAATATTGTGAAAAAAACTGTATAAAACTGAAAAAATGTAACAAATTTTATACCTTAAAAGTTGATTAATTAACTTATTAATTATTACTTATCTTAATTTTTTTAAACCAGTACCTTTTGACATTATTTTTCTGCAGTACTAAAATCCATTATTTACCTATCGTGTGATGTCGATATTTTACAGCTACTCCAGTTTGTGTTTAGTTTGATCCTTCTACCATATACGAGATGCACTTATCTACGACGAAATGGTATACAAACTTTATCGATGGCAACTTCATTGGTGTATAAGACTTTCTGCCTGGGCAGCGAGTATTAACCATAAACTGTGCTCTGGGTCTACAGTTAATTTTCACTCGATTTTTCCTCCACTTGACTTCAAAAGACACAAAACACACGTAATAATACGAATCAAAATGCATCATCTTCCAAAACGCAGGGTATTTAACAAAAGTTGACACAAAATTATAACCTATAATTTGGTAAGACTTTGACAAGCGTCAAAAATGACAAAAATCTAAAGGCGAGTTCATACGCATCGGCGTTCGTTTGTCGTTCATCGTTCCGTCAAACCAATAAAATTGAATTACGATCTGTCATTTTTAAATAAACCAATAAAATGGTTAAAAACAACAAGACACGACGTATGACGGATTTATATTTAAACCCATCCATAGATAACTTAAAAATTATTAGAAACTTTTTTTAGTAAAATAAATAGATTGGTATGGGACGTCATCTGTTTTTCTTCTGTCATCGTCTGTCGAAATCTTACCTGAGAAAAAAAACAGAGTATAGATTATTTGTTACCTATAGTGTATTTTTAAGACCTGTATTCATTTTCAGCCGATTCTACCAGGTGTTTCTCAAAAGGGGCTCACTTTTTTACTTTTTTATTTTTTCAGCTAATACAACGAAATTTGGTTTGTTAATATATGACATAAATCGGGATTGATTGACGTATTCAATTACCTTCGGTCGCTACCTGTTTCACCGGAAATGACTACAACTTTGTATTTTTAGATTGTATCCTAAGTACTTTTTTGCTTAAGATATTTGATAGAAAATGACATTCTGAATAGAATATGACATACCAAAGTCAATTTTAGACAATTCCAATTAAATAAAAATAGCATTTTAAATGTCAGTCTAGAGTACCAAGACTGAGTTAAAACTATTAATTTGTAATCAATGAACTTTGGAAACATATATTTGATCGTGTAATTTTTTTTCGTATCCTTTCATGACCGCTTAAAAGATGCCCAAATCGTATTTTTAATGATATCTCAAATTTTTCAAATGGTACGAGGCTGGCTCAGCATATTTGGAAAAAGCATTTTTTACGAATAATTTGGTACCGCATACTTGGTCTTTGGAGTAAAATTGTCGTTACGTTTATTTATGGCCATTTTTAAATTGAAAATGTCAAAAGTTGACATATAATATCATTCTATTTAGAATGTCATTTTCTATCATATACGGTAAAAAAATACCGAGGGTACCATTTAAATCAAAATTTGTTGTCATTTCCGGTGAAATAGGTAGTGACCGAAAATAAATGAAAACGTCGATCAATCCTGATTTATGTCCTATACTAACATACCAAATCTCGTTTTTTATATAAAAAATTAAAAAAAGATATAGAAGTGAACCACTTTTCAGAAACACCCGGTATATTTATTTCTAAAAATGTAATGGTAAAATTTCATTTCCGGTGTCAAACTTCCTATTAAGTAGTAATTTTTAATTTCAGATTATAATAATTCCGGTCTTTAATAAAAATAATCATAAAGATCTTTATTAACAAAAATGAAATTATATGGACGAAGTCTAGCTACATAGCTATTCACACTCAACCCACAATAAAATTAAAATTATAAAATCTTTTCTTTGTGTAAACAAATTAGTTGTAAATGTTTTTCACGATCCCAGTCAATAACTGCGTCCCCCATTGTCGAATACTCGGTAAAAAATAAAAATCACAGATGGATGCCCGAAATTAAATGAGACCCTTCCAAATATCCGATACAGTGTCCGCCGAAATGCACGCCGTTCGCTCCTTTTGATTTGCCGACACCCGTCGGAAAAAGAACGCGCGCGCTCTAGCATAGGCAGACGCACGCTCTGGCGTACAAACTAGCCGTTCGGCGCTCTGCGCTCCGCGGTCCTTAATAGGCCTAGGCAAGCTGTGCGTGTTGGCTTTATTATTTATAAATCTACCTATCTCACAATTTTTACTTAGTATCTGTTTAATTATATATGTTCGCGAACATTTTGTTCGAGTAGCTTGGACGCGGCTTAAAAATTAGAAAAAAAAACATCATTAATTAATTTTGAATTTTTCTATAAAAATAAAATTGAAAAAACAGTTTTTTTTTAATATTTCATAAACCGTTTGAGTTAAAGAACTAAAAATTTAGGTGAATTATTTTTTTAAAAATCTAATCATTTGGCTACAGTTCTCCATGTCGGATGAGGTTAATAACACTGTATACATCTTTGAATAAGAAGACTAAGGAAGGAGCATAATGCTATCCACGTATTCATGCATGGCGGGCGGAAAAGCCACCATAAAAGCTCTCTAGGGTGGGGATCCTTGACAGTTCTGTTTGACGATTCATTTGACACATTTGAATTTGATTTGAAATTTTGTGGATTTGTCAGTCTTTACGGAGCTTATTTTATGTTATTTATTATTTATTCTACTACTCTAGATGGAAATTGTGGCAGAACTTAAATTAACAGTGACACTATCGCGATTTATCGAAAAAGACTCTAAAATAGTTGGTTGTGTAGCGTGCGGTAGATCTCGGCAAAAATTGAGTGAAATAATGGAACAACTTTTCGCTAGTAAGTGACTATATAATATACATACGTGTAGTAAACCGATCATTTATGAAATTCACTTAAATTAACTAAATTATTTATTTTTCTTGCATTTTAGCTTTTATTTATTACTTGTAAAAGATTAGATGTCAAAGAATTTAGATACGGTAATTTGACTTACCTGCTTCAGTAGCGTATCGGATGTTTGTGTTAATAAATACTTATTATAACTTATCTATTTTTATTAGAATTATATATTTTTATAACAATTTTAATAACTACCAACATTTATTCACAACGTAAAATAAAACAACAAATTATTGAGTCTACCCCACGTCTACCCTACATCATAGTTTTACATTTTTTAAATAAAATTAGAACGACACTGATAAACCGGATTTTAAGTCGGCCATATTTGAGGCCCATCGCGATGTACCTAAGATTTTTGATATGCTCCTTCCTTAGTCTTCTTATTCAAAGGTATACATATTTAAAATTAAAGTATTATGACATATATATCAGTTACCGTCTAAAATGTCATCCTGATAACAAAAAGTTAAATATTGTCAGAGATAGTTAAAATATTAAAATTCACAGGCTATAATTAGTAATTACTGTGAAGGTTGCTTGTCTGTGCTTTCTACCTGCGCGGTTTTAACTGCACGGTTAAAACCCAACAAAAAAGCCGAAGAGTATATGAGAGCCTTTAGGTGAATATTTTTTTCTTTGTTATATAGTTAATGAAGACGACGGTTTTGAAGAAGAGGTCGTGCTGCCTCCCCTGTACCAAGAAAACGGTACTATCATCGATTTTAGACCGTCCAATCAGGTGCTGGTAAATTCCGTACAGCGGTCCGACTATTCCTACAATACAGTGGTCGGTACGTGCATGGGCAAAATCGATCAACTTTGGGCCGGGCCTAGCCACTGGAAGATGAAGCATGTTAGAAGAACCAAACTACCGGTGTATACAGGTACATACAGGGTGACCATTTCAAAACGAACAGTATTTAATATTAGCTCTACCGATGATAGTATGAAAATTTGGCGAAATACGTCAATTTACATATCAAGGGGGACAATTTTTGAGGCATTTGTTGTCGTGTTACTTTCAACCCTTTGACCCCCAGGGCACCTACCCTTAAAATTTTAAATGGCAACCTCTATTTCTTTTACCATTTTTGTGTTCCTTATAAAATTCTCAAAAAAATAATGCAGTTTATATAGAATTCTATAAGAAACACAAAAATGGTAAAAGAAATAGGCGTTGCTATTTAAAATTTTAGGGATAAGTGCCCTGGGGGTCAAAGGGTTGAAAGTAACACGACAACAAATGCCTCAAAAATTGTCCCCCTTGATATGTAAATTGACGTGTTTCGCCAAATTTTCATACTATCATTGGTAGAGGCAATATTAAATACTGTTCGTTTTCAAATTATCACCCTGTATATTATACAGTACGGTAAAAAAACGGCGTCCTTTTACCTTGGAATATAATTTTATATACAAAAGTCTTTATTTCCTGACGTTGTTTTTAAAAAGCACACTGCATACTAAAAAATAATTATATATTGCGTCACTAAAACTTTTCTATTTAATATTTTTTAACAATAAATGTTCAAAACAAATGAACTACACACTAAACTTTATTCTATTTTATTGACTCACCCTCTATTTTTTTTTGATGACGCATGATCGAGAAAAAACGGCGTCAACGATGGCTATGAAATGAAGATCGCTGTCATTTTATATGTAAATTTATATGGGAAATGTCATCGATCGTCATTTCCCAGCCAACTGGACGCCATTTTTTTTCGATCATACGGTACTAGTTGCAGATTAGTACTTGATCAATGAGACTTATCAATAGTAAAACTTCCTGAAAAAATGTAAACTTTTTTCTATTTTTACTCTAAATACTTTTGCGCACTCTGTATTATATTTTTACCGTTAATTTAAGGTCAAGATAAATTGGTCGATCAAGACAAAGATAAGAAGAAAGCACGCAAAAAAGCCGAACCGATAATGTTGGACTTTAGTGATTTAGAGGAGCCTGTAAAGAAATACAAATTGATGTCTAAAAAGAGACAAACCAAAGAGGTTAACGAAAACAAGTAAGTATAGATTTCTTTAAAATTAAATGGTGATAATTTTATGTTTTTTTTTAATAAATTTATTAAATTTTTTTGGATACTTTTTTAGGATTACCCTTCCTTTGTTCCACTCAGCTTGCCGCGAAATGATCGAACACATCGAAGAACTGATTCTGATACCGTCAAAGAAGCCCATCAATAAGGACAAGACCCAGATAGATTGTGAGGTGGAGGAGTATCGGTTTGATAATCCCAATGACTCAAACTACATACCTAATCACCTTGTAAGTAACTTATATAGTACCATTTTAGAGACACATAGGGTCCATTTCACTAAAGTTGAATTTATTCACGGATAATTTAAGAAATGTACTAAATATAGTACAAAAATATTTCGCAATTACATCCCTTGGTCGTTTTATTTTTGCTGACAAATTTCACTAGCTTGCAGTAGCTGAACTTCGTCGTGTGGGTGGGTGGCTACATTGTTTGACATTTCAAAGAACCAATGAGAGTTGTTTAAATTTAAAATTGACAGCTGTTTGAATTTTCTAAAAATCTTATTGGTTCGTTTGACCAAGTTATTTAAGCGCCGTTCTCAGAACTTCGACTGTCGCCAGCGACACGTCATAAGAACCAATGAGATTTGTCCAAAATTTTCTGCTGCTTAAAATTGAACGCTGTACAAAATTGTACAGCTGTCAATTTTAAATTTAGTACAACTCTCATGAGCTCTTCACTTCAGTTCTAAGTGTCAATCAATGTCGCTAGCGGCACAGTTTGACATATCAAACATCCAATGAGAGCTGTACTAAATTTAAAATGACAGCTGTTTAAATTGTGTACAAATCTCATTGGTCCTTTTGGCGTGTCGCTGGCGACAATACGATGTTCTGAGAACGGGACTTAAGCCCCGTTCTCAGAACTGCGTCGTGTCGACAGCGACACTGATTGACACTTCAAACGACCAATGGGAGCTGTACTAAATTTAAAATTGATAGCTGTTCGAATTTCGTACAAATCTGATTGGTTCTTTTTTTCTTTCGCTGGCGACAGTCGCAGTTCTGAGAACGGGGCCTTAAGCTGACATTATTCAAGGTTACCAACTATTCTTTCATATTAAAAACGTATTACATATAGTACATTTTAACAGTACAATAACAGTTGGAAATGTTATTTAAAATAACTGTTATTTAATGTTATGAAACACTTTGGCAATGTTTACAGAAAAGGGAAATAATAATTTTACCACAACGTACCTAGACGTGGACAAAATTGATTTTTTTAAACATTACAGTTATTTTTAAATAACAGGAACTGTTATTTAAAAATAACTGTTATGTAAATCATTGGCAATATTTCTAGAAAAATCGAATAATAAAGTCACCAGAAAGTAGGAGTGAGCAGAACTGACATAACAGTCGAATCTGTTACACAGTTATTTAGTAATAACAGTTTGAAATATAACAGAATCTGCTATTTAAAAATAACTGTTATGTAATGTTATGAAGCATTCTCTAAAACGGTATACCCGTCCAGATTAGCCCTGGCAGCAAAAAGGAGACGTTAACTGAAATCTTTTACTGTTTTTTACTAAAACGATATGGAAATTTGAAATAGCATAAACGGAATTAACAATTTTAGAATAAGCAAAAACTTTTATGAAGAATGCATTTTCCTCAAAATGTCCATAACAAAAAAGCTTTTCCTCTTGTAAAGACAATCCGGGAACATACTGTATATAGTATATACAGAACTTCCATGTTTTTTTCTCACATTTTTATTAAATTTTTCTTTAGGTTGATGATGACAATCAGCCGGACTTAGCGGACGACATCTTTGGAGACGAACCTCAGGAGTTCGAGGGTGAGAGCGCTAGAGGAGGTTTTGTAGAAGACAATTTGGTCGGATTGCCAGAAATGGTGAGTCTTTGTATATTTTTTCTATTTTTCTTTAAAATATTTGAAATATTTTGTTACCTATATAAAATTCTAACTAAAACAAAATTATATTTAGGTCACCCAGTCCGATTTGCACTATGCCCAGAGAGCGAAGAAAATGGACATGAAGAAACTGAAAACGGCAGTATGGCAGATTTTAACTTGTTCAGATACTTATGTAAGTGCATACAGGGTTGGGTAGGTAGAAAATTTTATATTTTCTACATGTAGAAAATTAATTTTCTACACCAACTAATTATCTACATTTTTTACGTGTCCAGACGTAGAAAATTAGTTTTGTATATTGTAAGGGTTTTTTTGAGTTTGTATTTATTTCATATACTTCAATCACAAAGATTAGTCCAAGAAACAAACTAATAACGATAATTCTAATTGTTATTTACTATTTAACAAGTGGATAACATATAGTATGTCAAAAAAAACCTAACTATTAACTTTCATATTATTTTAAATTGATATGTACAACGGGAGGATGCGTGACAGTGACTGTGGTGTCATTATAATTCACAGACATATCGTATTTTTTTATGTCATTTTCTAGATGTCGTTTTGGTCAAGCATTATTTGAAAATAAAAATATTTCTATAGGATGATATAAACTATAGAGCACCTGGAAGACTATTTTGTATTAACCATTGTTACACAACCCAGCCTGTATAAAGGGATTTCGTTGAACTAAAAATACCAATTGGTCGATTCGTTAAATAATAATAAAAAAATTGGTTAATATTTCAAGAATTTTCCTTACAGGCATGTAGTTCAAAATTATGTCTAGAATTTTGTAAAGAATCCAAAAATGTAATAATATACAGGATGATGCATTTAAGCAATCACAAATTTCGTTTAAAATCATATCCTAAAATGCTTCGTTTTGGAGATATAGTCTGTGAAATGAATAACTTTGAATTTGACAGTTCCCGCGGGCTTTTTTAGTGTTTATTTTATTAGGTTAGCAACTTGAGCCATGCTGACGCAATGCCGTCTCTAATAGAACAGCCTCTGAGCGGGATTTATGACGTCACGCTAGTTAGATTCTACGGATTAATAAATATGGTGTAGAATACATGGAAAACATAATTATTCTTCGTATTTTTGGTTTGTATTTGAAAAACAAACTTTGATTTTAAAATACAAACCAAAAATACGAGGAATAGTTATGTTTTCCATGTATTCTACAACATATTTATTAATCCATAGTATCTAACTAGCGTGACGTCATAAATCTCGCTCCGAGGCTGTTCTATTAGAGACGGCATTGGTCTGATATTTAGAAATGTCAAAAGCTGATGACATTTTACATTTGACAATTATGAGATTTCGGGTTGATTTTTGGAAGAAGAGGAAAAACTGTGACTTGTTTTATTATTTTCCTTTTCTATTTCACGAAAGTAAAAAGAGTTACCTATCTGATTCGTTCAGGCACTCAATTTAAAGAATATCAGTAACTTTTTTGACAGAGGGATTTTATATTTGCCGTGTTGGTAAGAAATAACGGTCAAAATTCAAAGTTATTCATTTTATAGATTATACATGGTGTAGAAGTTTCATTTTGACTTCATTTTTTTTCTAAATAATTTCTGAACAACTATTGTCTTTAAAGCAAAATAAAAACACTAAATCACCACAATACACCAAAACACTTTTACTTTTACACTGGACGCGCGTTTCGCGAACCACGTTAGCATCATCAGCAGATGATTATAACTAAAATCGTTTAGTTTATAATCATCTGCTGATGATGCTAACATGGTTAGCGAAACGCGCGTCCAGTGTAAAAGCAAAAGTGTTTTGGTGTATTGTGGTGATTTAGTGTTTCATACCTGTTCTTAGATTTTATACATTTTCTATTTAATATTCTACATTTCCTACTCACTTTTCAACATACACGTAGAAAATTGCTGCCTGTATATTATTTTTTTCGTAATTTTGCTTGCCTTGTTAAAATAATATACTCTATACTTCTTTTCATAAGCAAGGAAAAAAAATACACTTTTTATTTTTAAAGTTGATGTTTTTTCTTAAATCGTTCAAACAATCACTCTTTGTAGTTTAGCTATGCACTTAAATAACACACTGTATATATATTTTTTTCAGGATACGTCGGCGAAAGTAACGGATACGAATTTTTCAAACATGTACAAAGTGTTGCCTCAGAAAGTGACGGAAAGTATGCGAAGAGAGTTGAGTTGTCCGCTGGCTTTTGTGGCCCTGCTTCATCTATGCAACGAACAAAACCTGTTCCTAAGGAAAGGCGACGATATATCTGATTTTTTTATCATGGGGCCAAGTTAGTACGTATTCGGTTTTAACCTGTTGTGACCTGTTTACTTGAAAATTATTGAAATTATATATATTAGAGTTCTATGATAAAGTTCGTTTTACTATTATTAACCTTCACCATTTTGTCAAGAAGGTCGGAATTATTTTTGATTCTAATTAGAAAGTAGTTTTCGTTTGGGATTAACGCCAGAAGTGTTTACAAAAAATAACTATTTTATTTTGTAGATTTTTTTGCAGTGGCGAAATAGCCATATAGGATTTTTTGGAGACATGAATCCGCCACATAGCCCACATATGTATAGATATTTTTATTACTCATGTGGGGAAAGTAGTATCTTTTCTTTCTTTTGGAGTCGAAAAGCCGTTAATTGCCCACTTCACAATTACCACACTAGTTTTGATCAAATTTAATGTCGATTTGAGTGCGACAAGTAAACCACAAAACATCCACATTTAGAACTTTTTCTTTAATGGCCATAAGTGGGAGTAAAAGACCAACCGCCCGAACAAACACTAGGGGCGCCACCGGTCATCAAATGGTGTAAAAATTGCGAAAATTTAATCATCTAATTTTGACACAAGGGGTCGCGCTTAACATTTTTAATTTTATTTCAATATTTATTGTTTTCAAACTATATTATTAGACTTTATTGTATTTTGTGAGTGTATAAATGTTTTCTTAGTATAAAGTTGCATTATATTAATTTAAATTATATTACATACATATTTAAAATTCAAATATTATGACATATATGTCAGTTGCCGTCTAAAATGTCATCTTGATAGCAAAAAGTTAGTTATTGTCAGAAATAGTTAAAAAATCATGTTAAAATATTAAAATTTACAAGTTATAATTAGATATTTTCATAATGGTACAGCGTAATGTTGATATGCAGGTCCAAAACAAAAAGTGCCTTTTTAGTGTTGTCGGATATTTTTTTTTGTGAAATAGAAATATTGCGTTTGTATTGCAAAACTAAAAGTGGAAGTTTTATTGCAATGTAAGTATTACGACAAATATACATATATTGAAATTTAACAATTCGTTTTTTTTTTAAATGTTAGAAAACCAGCCTGTAATCCTGTAATTGACATAATTGTAATGTAATATATTCCATTTAAATGTAATATATTACTTTACAATTAAAAAAAATTAAATTTAAAAAATATATTACAAATATATACAGGCATTAATTGAAATTTTTAGAGTGCGAACAAACACGAGAGGCGCTTTATTACTTACTTTCATTTCTTAACATGACAGATGAAGTTCTAAAGAGGGATGTTTTGTGAAGTAAACTTCTCGCACCCAAATTTTCATTGGCACAGGCAAATTGACAAGCAAAAAAGACAGTCTCGAAGTGTCAATATTAAAGAAGCGAGGTTGACATTTTAAATATTTTTTTATTTTTGGTTTATTTTATTACGTTGCTTTTTAATATGTCTCTTTTGTTATACACATATCATGTAAACAAATTATCATGTATAACAAATTATTAAACACCATTATGAAGAAGCAACGTTAAAATTCCTTGTTTTAAAAAATTTGAAGTTTTTAATTCTTTTGCATTCATCTATGGGGTCTTCCAAAAGTTGTTTTTCTTTTCACGAGATTTTTGAAGCATTTTTTGCTTTTTAATCGAGCGTTTTTTTTTTCAATTTCGCTTTTTTTTTCAACCTTTTCAACTTCGCTCTCGTGGGCAATCGACAACTTTTCGCACTAGTTGCTCAATATGTTATTTTTACATTTTTCAAAACGGCACCTTCACCATTTTGTCAAGAAGGTTGGAATTATTTTTGACTATACGACGATACTATTGTATTTGAACATTTTTATCACAGATCACATACAAAATGTTTATTAAAGTACTGTACCACAAACTGTACTGAATTCACTTTGACTTTCGAAAGACTATGTTGGCTAGATATTTCGAGCTTTGAAAATTCTTTTAATTATTTAGCTTCATATTTTTGGACATAGGGTGGAAAATAAAATATATTTATACATAGAATAAATTTATTTATTCGTGTTAGTAAGTATAGGGGTGTGGCCCTCCGTGCCATTCACAGTCGAGGGGCTCGTCTCCGGCTGAGGTACCTGTGATGTGGAAGCTGAAGGGTCTGTCTCTCTTTCACTATATCGATAACATCTAAGGTACTATAGATAGATAGAGTATTAGGTGTTAAATAAAACAACAGAAATCATATTCAATTAATAGATTTTTTATTCATAAATCTTTGAAGAATAATTTGCCCATATATTTTTCATTGCTACAAAGGCATCAGTAGTTTTTGTACGTTCAGAAATATTTACTATAAAAAATATAATAATTAATATATTTTTTTTTTTTTTTAAATATTTTTTACCTTTTGACCACCGTACAACTTATTGTGTTGAACTGATTGGCTCTTTCTAATGTTTCTTCATAGATCCAAGTGGTGCATCATTGTCATCAAGGGCAACACCGAAAAGATTTTCTTCAAAAAAATTAAGATAATATTTTATTTTCCTATAATATTTTTTTCCCTTTTGGCCACTGTACAACTTTGTATTTGCTATAAGACTTGGGGAAGGTTACAAATCAATAATACACCCAACACAGGCTGTCATACCTGGTGGAATTACACGTAATCACACAATACTTCTTCATATTCTATTGCACAACAGCGAGGTGGTGTTTCTTGACATCCCGCTATTCTGAAATTGATATAGTTTCTCGCTACTTAATTTAAAACAGCACTTACTTGAAATTAAAGTCATAGTTTATGAATAAAATACCTGTGCTTTAGACACATCGATTATCTTTGTGCCTGAACGGAAATTGTCGATTTAAACGGGATAAATCAATAATATCCATGTGGATGTGCTTGAAATACATCGTTGCATTGGTATTTAACTAAGGTATTTAAGCAGCTTGTAATCGAACGGGCCTCCCTAAGTGGGCTTCTAAGTGGACATGATTAAGTCGAGAAAATCCGGGGATGGTTCGCATTCTGGATGGATCCCGGACGCTTCAAAACTTTTTCCAAGTACTAATCCAACGTTTCTGATGAGATTCCTTCGCTTTTTCTACGGAAAATTTGAGTTTTTCCGGTTTATCTCATTTTTTTTTTCTGAAAATGTAACCGCGCCAGACATTAGTCTTCTTATTTTTATTTTTGAAATTCTATGGCTGAGAACTTCGGTTCGTATCCCATGCAAACGTCAGCGGCCAGATGATCCCTAGAAGTAGGGACCGGATAGCTCTAGTGGCCAAAGACCCCAGCGGCTAGAGTCATCTGGCCGGACGTTTAGATAGCCGGATAACTCCAGCAGCTCTGGCCTTCGGCCATTAGAGCTATCCGTCCCTTACTGGAGATCATCTGGCCGCTCGCGTTTGCGTGGGATACGAACCAAAGTTCTCAGCCATATAATTTCAAAAATAAAAATAAGAAGACTAATACTAATGTCAATTTCAAATAAAGTTTGTTACTTTTTCAGAAAAAAATCAGAAATAATCCGGATAAATTCCAAATTTCCGTAGAACAAGCGAAGAAATCTCATCAGAAACTATGGATTAGCACTTGGAAAAAGTTTTGGAACGTCCGGGACCCGTCCAGAATGCATCAAGTTTGAATGTAAACCGTCTCCGGATTTTCTCGACTTGATCATATCCATTTAGAGCCCACTTACGGAGACCCTTTTGATTACGAGCTGCTTAAATACCAATAGAATGATGTATTTCAAGCACATCGACATAGATATTATCGCTTTATCCCATTTAAATCGATAATTTCCGTTCAGGCACAAAGCTATCGATGTATCTAAAGCACAGGTATTTTATTCATAAACTATGACTTTAAGTTCAAAGTAAACGCTGTTTTAAATTAGGTAGCGGCAAACTACATCAATGCCAGGATAGCGGGATGACAAGAAACACTACCTCGCTGTTGTGTAATGAATCTCCGTAGAAGATGAAAAAGTATTGTGTTATTACGTGTAACTCCACCAGGTATGATAGCCTGTGTTGGGTATACTCGTAATTTGTATCCTCCCCCAAGTCACATTGCAAATACAAAGTTCTACAGTGGCCAAAAGGTAAACAAATATTTTAGAAAAATAAAATATTATCTTGATAACTATTTTAGAGAAAACCGTTCGGTGTTGCCCTTGATGCCAATGATGCACCACTTGGATCTATAAGAATATATATAATCTTATATTAAAAATATATATATCTTCATAGATTTTATGAAGAAGTACCTATTGGAAACAGTCCCCGAAAGTGCCAATTAATTCAATATACAAGGTGTTACATGTAGATCAGTACAGGATGGCAGTAAAAAATATTATTCCAAGAAAGTTTTAGGAAAAATTAGTTGATGCACAAGACTTTTTATGGATAGATTTTAATGGAAAAAATTAGGGACCTGTCCCAATTATTGGCACTTTAGAACCAGCTTTTAGAGAAATGGTAAGGTAGATTAACTAATTTTTCAAATATATATAGTATCTCATTCATTTTTATTATTAGGATCAGCTGAAGGTTGGATTAAATGCACGAGGATGTTGTATACTGCACTCATGGCTGTGTTTATAGGAAAACTGTACATATCAAAATAGAAATCCAGAGATTTAGGAAAGACAGACATGTTTACGGATGGACGTATGCAGCAAGATTATCTGAATATATCCGATTACTGGACAAGGTACGTGGTTAAATATATTTTTTAAAGATCTTTGGTAGAAATTAAACTATATTTTATTTAATAGACCATTGGCGGTGTAACAAGAAGCTTTGGTAATGATAGTTTTCTTGTAGAGTTGGTACAAACACTGGCAAAACATTGAAAGTGGAATGAAGGCAGAGGAAGGACTTTGAGGAATTCAAGACAGCTTTTTGGAGCAGCATTAAGTAGAAAAAAAACCTCTAAGTAGTTAAAAGTTTGAGACAAATATTGTGAATCACCCTGTATATTGATAGAAATATTTTTAAAGTATGCATTACCATTATCTATACATTTTAAGAAGTGTAATCTGGAATTATTAAGAACCTTAAATAGAGCATTTGGCATGCAACCAGTAATACACAATTGGACCTTCCAGTATACGAGACCAGTATGGTTAACTGAGGTCTTGCAGATATAACTTATGTTAGTAATTATTATGTTAGTTTGTACAGAAACACCACGAACTGTATATTTGCTAGTAGACCCTTTTAGTAATGTATCTAATACCGTATGATCGAAAAAAACGGCGTCCAGTTGGCTGGGAAATGGCGATCGATCACATTTCCCATATAAATTTACATATTATGAGAGCGATCTTCATTTCATAGCCATCGCTGACGCCGTTTTTTAGATCATACGGTACAATGTACAGTATGATCGAAAAAAACGGCGTCCAGTTGGCTGGGGAATTACGATCCATGACATTTCCCATATAAATGTATATATAAAATTTTGTTCGTTATGATCGTAAAAAAACGGCGCCCAGTTGGCTGTGAAATGACGATCGTTGACATTTCCCATATAGAATGACATCGATCTTTATTTCATAGCCATCGCTGACGCCGTTTTTTTTTCGGTCTTACGGTTCAATATACCGTATGATCGTAAAAAACGGCGACCAGTTGGCTGGGAAATGACGATCGATGACATTTCCCATATAAATTTGCATATAAAATGACAGCGATCTTTATTTCATAGCCATCGCTGACGCCGTTTTTTTTTAGATCTTACGGTTCAGTATACCGTATGATCGTAAAAAAACGGCGACCAGTTGGCTGGGAAATGACGATCGATGACATTTCCCATATAAATTTACATATAAAATGACAGCGATCTTTATTTCATAGCCATCGCTGACGCCGTTTTTTTTCGATCTTACGGTTCAATATACCGTATGATCGTAAAAAAACGGCGACCAGTTGGCTGGGAAATGACGATCGATGACATATAATTTTACACATATAATTTTACATATAAAATGACAGCGATCTTTATTTCATAGCCATCGCTGACGCCGTTTTTTTTTTGATCTTACGGTTCAATATACCGTATGATCGTAAAAAAACGGCCCCCAGTTGGCTGGGAAATGACGATCGATGGCATTTCTCATATAAAATGACAGCGATCTTTATTTCATAGCCATCGCTGACGCCGTTTTTTTTTCGATCTTACGGTTCAATATACCGTATGATCGTAAAAAAACGTCGACCAGTTGGCTGGGAAATGACGATCAATGACATTTCTTATATAGAATGACAGCGATCTTTATTTCATAGCCATCGCTGACGCCGTTTTTTTTTCGATCTTACGGTTCAATATACCGTATGATCGTAAAAAAACGGCGACCAGTTGGCTGGGAAATGACGATCGATGACATTTCCCATATAAAATGACAACGATCTTTATTTCATAGCCACCGCTGACGCCTTTTTTTTCGATCATACGGTATCATATTATTAGGTATGTTCTATTACATATGTATCATTGAATTTAAATATATTTACGTTTTCAATTATTTATTGTTTCATTACAAAAATAGTAGATATTGTTACATTACCCCTGATTACTATTCCTGAATATTAATATTTTAATTCCAATTGCGTAATCTTTATATAAAAGAATACCATGTTTGTGAATAATAATTTTTTGTCTTATGTAGTAAAAATATATATTTAATAAACTAAATTTATTTTAAAATGGTCCAAAGTGTTGTCCCTGGTGACAATTTATGGTCGAAATAGAGCAAATTGTTACTGCAGATATTTTTTCCGCAAAATGTGCTATCTCTAACGATTCGACCTCGTTGGCAAACTTCAACCCTTAATAACTTTTTTCTAGGAAAAAAATACCTACATTTTTTTACGTCATTCGATAGAGAATTAAAAGCTCTATCTCTATGCAGAATCTCAGCTCTATCGGAGATACTTTAATTTTAAGGGCAAAATTTAGCAAAGGGGTTAACCTTAGATATTTTTGAGCCGTAAAATTAAAGTATCTCCGATTGATCTGAGATTCTGCATAGAGATAGAGCTTTTAATTCTCTATCGAATGACGTAAAAAAATGTAGGTATTTTTTTCTTAGTTTTCGAGATATTGACGTTTTTCAAAAAAAATCTAACTCTCCGAGCTCGTTGGGCATATATTTTAAATTAATTATTATTTTAGAAAAATGAATTTTTAAAAATTTACCTTCACCATTTTGTCAAGAAGGTCGGAATTATTTTTGACAAAATTACCATGCTGCTTGAATATTTTTATACTTTTTTATTAAAAATTTATTTTTTAATACGGCACCTTCACCATTTTGTCAAGAAGGTCGGATTTATTTTTAATTATATGAGGATACTATTGCACTTGAACATTCTTATTAAACTTTTTTATTTGCTTGCCTCAGTTTTAGACCCGCTGAATTCACTTTGACTTTCGAAAGACTATATTGGCTAGGTATTTCGGGCTTTGAAAATTCTTTTAATTATTTAAGCTTAAAATTTTCGTACTATAGGGTGGAAAATAAAACACATTTTGCACATATAATAAATTTATTTATTCATGTTAATAAGTATAGAGGTTTGGCCCTCCGTGCCCTTCACAGTCAAAGAGCTGGTCACCGGCTGAAGTACCATCTAAGGTACTTACAATAGGTAGTCTTAGGTATCAAATAAAACAACAGAAATCATATTAAATTAATAGATTTTTTATTCATAAATCATCGAAGGACAATTTGCCCAAATATTTTTCATTGCTACAAAGGCATCAGTAGTTTTTGTATGTACAGAAATATTTACAATAAAAAATAAAAATTTCTGGTTTGACTATTATTCTCTCTTTTTATTGACATTGATTGTCATGTAATAAAAACATTAGCGTTCAAGTGTAGAATAAAACCAAAAAAACAGAACAAATATACATTAAAATGCCTCAAAATAACTTAACAAACAAACATTAATCCTCAGAAATTAAGAAAAAAAATGTACCGTATGCTCGAAAAAAAACGGCGTCGAAGAAGGATAGAACATAGAACGTTTCCAGACACAAATCTATTTCCAATAAAAAAAATTTAAAGGGCCTTTAAAAAAGAAAAAAATAAATCATGGCTAGGGCTTGACCTCGCCAAAATTACCATCGATTGTCATTTCCTAGCCGTCTCCGACGCCGTTTTTTTTCGATCGTGTGATATTTTGTTTTGAACAAATAACCATAATAAAAAGAAGTCTTTTTTTTTTCGGTACATACTTGTAAGAAGCAAATACTGTACATATATCCATATTAACAATAATTTTAAATTTTATAAGGCATATTATTATATATATTTTTCTAAAAATTTCCATAAATATTTGCTGTATTTTTCTTCCAAGGCACTAAGAAAATGGTATTTTTTTTTTTTCAAAAAATGGACCTATCGTAGCATTACATAGCATCTTTACGAAGAGCAGTGACTAGGTTTAAATATAATAATTTTTACACAATATAGTTTTTTTTTAAATAACATTTAACATGAAAATAAAAACGAATAAGTACGGATATCCGAACCATGTTCATATAAAGCTCCGCCTACACGTAGCGTTTTACCTGTCAGGTTAGACGGATTAGAACTAAAGACTAGCTGCACACTGGCAGTTTTACCAGCGAGATTTTATCGATTATATAATTTTGAGAAGAAAAAACATGGAATTTAGATTATTTCGGTGCAGGCAAAACGACAGTTTTGTTGTAGAATTGAATGATCGCGCGAGTTCTTAACTGAACCAGTAAGACTGTCAGGTAGAACTTTACGTGTAGACAGCGCTTTAATCATATAACTTTTCTACAAAATGCGCTGTTCAATAAACAAAGCGGCCAACTTTGCGATTGTGACAATATTTTTTTACTACAACACGACATTTCCAATTGAAAACAGTTATTTTTTTAATTCATAAAAAAATAGTTTTACATAGTTTTTTTTTAAACAAAGATGGCCGGCAAACTCAATGTGGTCCCTTTCTATCAAAAAGACTGAAGCAGTCTTTTTTTAAGCACCAATTACCTACGTAGATTCTTATAACCTTAAAAATACATCTCGCCGTTCAGTAGATGTAATATAAGGCATTGTTTCAAAAAGGATCAATATACAGCGTGTTTCAAAACTAATGCGAGAAATTTTAAGGGTAGATTCCCTTTGAAAATAAAAAAATTAAAGAAGAAATATAAACCTACTCCTTGTGTTTTTTTTATTATAAATTATTATTATTATCCATACATTTTTATATATTGTCACGAAAAATGAGCATCATAAAATTTTTATATTTTTTAAAGTTTTATACAGTGCGGATTCTGATGATTTTTTAAGTAATTTGTAGCTGAATTATTTGACTTTTCAGTATCTCTTTCTACATTAAAAATGAAAGTTTCCAGCTGTCTATTATACGAGGGAAAACAAAATGTTGATAAAATGTTAATATCAAACACGAAAAGTCAAATAAGTTCGCTACAAATTGGTTACAAAATCCTCAAAATCGGCCGACTAGTACAAGCACCTTCACTATTTTGTCAAAAAAATAGGAAATGTTTTTTGACTACACGACGATACTATTAATGCACTCGAAATTTTTAATAAAGTTTTTTTAGACCGACTGAATTCACTTTGACTTTCGAAAGACTATATTGGCTAGGTATTTCGGGTGTCCATATTAAACTTTAAAATTACATCAACATTTTAAGATGCCCGTTTTTCGCGTCGGTTAGGGTCATTTATTTTGAAACACCCTGTAGATTGGTACGAAATTTTGGTCGCTATTGGAAGTTAAAACTATCGGTACCAAGCCTTGTTTAGTATTATTTGTTTTTAACAAAATAAGAAAAAGTTTTGAGGCACTTTAGGCATCAATAAATAGTACGGCATAGTCTCGACTCGACGTGTAGTCGTACCTTTAGTTTCAACGTCCGATACAACGCAATATAGTACTAATTTTTTTAGTCAGCCGCCTAGAAAGGTACAAAATTTTACGAGAAATTTAAAAATTTTTCCTTTTTGTTTTACAAAAGTACAAAAAAAACAGTTATAGGGACGGACTATGACATTATATTTTCTTAAAAGTACTTTCAGCCTTATTTTATGCACTGGCATAATGACACGTTTCCTTTAAAAAAAGTAGATTTTAACGGAATCTTACGGGGGTACTACGAAAAGTACTGGGGTCTGGTCGATATAAGCATGTCATATTTTTTATAGACATCATCATTTTAACTTCATTGTTATTGGTTCAACATGGTTATATCGTACTATCGTACCCGAAATTTGATTTCTGGAATCTTAGTACCCCGGTATAACACGTTAAAAATTCAAGGCCATTTCTAAAATACATGTATATATTAAAAGTATTCGCGTTTTCCATGTCTTTATCACACAATTTCACGTCTTCTGTTCACCTTTAGACCATTCTTAGTGAAAAAATATTTCTTCTGCATCACCTACAGGGCGCCAGAAGAATTTCTAACCAACACGGACAGGACGTTATCTCTCTCCGGGAGTACTTGGTACCCCATCCTTTGACAAAACTGATCCTGCAACAGAAAAGTGTCTTTTTTAGTTACTTCCAGATTTCTCCTAAACGTACAAAGTGTCCCAAATTGGTTAATTATGAGTCAAGGCAATATCTTGTTTTATACTAATCATAATTAAACAACAGAAGTTAGTTACAGGGTGTCCCACTAAGAATAACTCTCGGCTGTACCTCGGAAAGTATTAGCAGTAGGGCCTACGGAAAAATATATATAATTAAAGGGGCTACGAGAAATTGCTGGAAATTATTTTCAGGTTTGTAAAATGGCCGCTAGAGGGCGCAATTGCTATAGAAAATAAGAAAATAGAATTTTTACAGAATATGGGCACTATAAATAATAGCTTCATAATCTTCAGTAAATTTTGGATTGTTTTTGTTAGAACCACTTTCCCCTATCTGCTAAAATAAAGTGGTGGGGGAAGGTTAGATCTATCTTTATTTAATTGTTAATAACTCCGGACTGGACGATCAGAATCCAATAAACGAAGGCTCGTTTAAAAGAGCATTTCTTACTCTATATTATACCATAAAAATAATTGTAATAAGGTTTTGAACGTAGACGCTAGGGGGCGCTTTCTTACAATTTAACAAACATAGCGCGTTTTTTTCAAAAAAATAAAATAAATACGATAGTATATGTTATTTTAGCTGATAGTAAAGAGTAGTAAAAGCTTAAAAAGTCAGCGAAAACCGCATCTTGATATCTTCTTTCAAACCGAAGATATTAACAAAATTACAATAAATACCAAAAAATAAGCCCCTTAATTACCTTATTTTTACAACACGGTATCAGCAGCCCTCTTGATTATGCCCATTCTAACAAAAAAAAATAAGATAGAAAGAGTTAGTTTTGATTTAATCGACGAAATTCCTGAATACCATAATACCAGATGTATTAATATCTAATATTTAAGATATTAATAAGAGTGAACAAGAAACGATGATTCAGTGAAGTCATGGTAGGCTTTGGAAACAAGTTGCTTTTGACGTAACAGTATAAACGTCAAATTGTTATTGGATCAACATTTTTATAGTCTTTTATCTTTTGATTGCTGTTTCAAAATGCCAACAACTTCAACTACTTCAAATAAAAAAGACATTTTGAAAAAGCAATTAAAAAATAAAAAACGCTGCTAAGACTATCAAAATGTTGATCATTAGAGATTAGGTTATTAAACAAGATCCAGTGGTTCTCAAAATTTTAGCAAAAAATATTTGTTTTTGGAAATCCGTTATTTTGGACTTATTTGAAAAACGATAAAGAGAAAATATGTTTCTTTTATCGAGATCTACTACCACCCATTAAAATACTTGCACTTATTTCTGGGACACCCTGTATAAGCGTTTTGACTGAACATGTTAAACGTTATGTGTAGACAGAACTTAATAGGCTGTAAGATATCTCACATACAGGGTTGTTCACCAAATACGCATTTATTAAAAAATAAAATATTTTTAAAGTGTTACTTTTTACCACACTGTCTAATACACATACAAAACTCGGTTTTTTAGTATTTGGGGCAATTATTATTAATCAACGCAAACAGTCAGTTAATGTAGTTTGAATACTGGAATCATATTAATTGGTCCTCTTTAACAAATATTTAAACAGTTTTTTTTTATTTTTTAATGAAATAAACGAATTATATCGACAATATTAGTATCTGTACTCTTTAAAAATATGGTACATCTTTAAAAATAATCTAAAATGTCAATATTCCATGGGTATATTGATAAATAAGTTCTAAATTACAAGAAAATGCATTTTCTACGAAAACTTGAAGGGATAGGGAAAAAATGGTATTATACAATTTGATAGACAATTAAATTGTGCCTTTGATTGTCATAAAACATACAGGGTGTGCCATTTAAATTAAACAAGTTATTGCCGTTTAAAGCTAATAATTATTTAAAATAAATTTTTAGACCCTCTGTATAAGGTAGTATTATTTTTATTATTGCAACACAATAACTGATCAATAAATAAACTTCAGTAAATATTTAGTATTAAAAACTTTGATACCCTTGGAGAAATGAAGCCTTGAAATTTTTACTGCAATTTCCCAAAATTGAAAATATTTCAAAAACGGTAAGGTTTAAGTATAATAAACCTTAATCAAATTTACCTTTATTTTAATCGTAGAAACGAAAAATGTAATAATATACAGGGTGTTCCATTTAAAAAAATACAACTTTGATATTTTTTACTTATTTGGGACACTCTGTATCTTGTCAAATTATTTTTAAATTGTACCTCTAATAGTCCTACATCGAACCCAAAACTTGAAATTTGTAAAAGTCTCATCGTTTAGCTACAATACTCCGTGTCGTATGTGGTGAACAACCCTGTATAATTTTTATATGATATTGTATATGTCATATATAATTTATATATGATATTTTTCGACGGGACTCTAGACTTCTTATTTCAATACAACAAACTCACCTTATCGAATTGGGATCGCCCATGGGCCCGTGGTAATTGACCAGACTGTCCCAGCCGAACATTTGCTGGGCGCCCGGCACGTGGATGCGCAGACAGTGGTCGGCGGGGATGCGGACGGGCCCCGGCGCATCAGCGCCCAGGCCCCTCTCCAGGTACAACGAATTGACGAACACGGGCTGGTCGGAACGGTTGTACAGCCACACGGATCCGTCCGCTTCACGGCACAGGGTCACTCCTACAACAACGAAATAACAATTATTATTTTAATCTAATACAAGGAAGGTATAATGTGGCTAGCACTACGCTGAACAGCTTATACCCTGTGTCCGGTATTACCTCAGGATTGCATAAGTTATTCCGGATTTAAATGGAAGTAGTTTGGATATGGCGTTTGTCGCCTCAGCCTGAGTATCTGTTGGTAATTTACTTATTTCGTTTTGAGCCATTTCCAGCTCCAATTCAATCAGCAATCGACACGAAAGAGAATTAAAAAATATTGACTCAAAACTGACAACTAAAGAGACGACTTTATTTATTTGTCAAATTACATAGAAACCAACGCCAACCCAGCACAATATTTTTTCTACTCGTAATAAATTCCTTGAAATAATAATTTCTGAATATTTTTTAAAACGTAACTCGCTATGGAAAAATATTGTTTTATACACGACGATAAAATTGCATTATCGTCTCCCGAAATTAATTCATGAATTAATCTTTTCGGTCGACTATGTATAAAAAATAACTATTAATTTACGTTGAAGTGTTAGACTTACCTAAACCAATTTTACCCCGCGTGCTCAGAACGGATTCGGTGGCCTTCAGATTCTGCAGTCCAAGTTCCGTCAGACACCAGCCTTCAAGTCGGTCAGGTACATTGCCGAAAACGTTGACCGTGTAGGTTTCCACGGGCATGAGCTGGCCCACCCGGTCCCGCAGCTCCCAGTAGGCCAGCTTACACCACTCCAGAGGACTGGTCATCCTCGAATCTGCAACAAAAAACAACAGATAAATATCATCGGCTCAATCAACCTAACCGGGAATCGCGTTTCTTAATTAAAAGTTATTCAAAACTGTTATTTCCGAATAACAGTTAAAAATGTTATTTCCAAATAACAGCTGTAAATGTTATTTTCAAATATCAGTTGGAAATGTGTTATTTTGCGAATAACAATTGGAACTGTTACTTCCGGATAACAATTGTAACTGTTATTTTCAAAATATCAGTTGAAAATTTTATTTCCGAATAACACACAGTTGGTACTGTTATTACCAAATAACAGTTGAAACTGTTATTTCCAAATAACAGCTGTAAATGTTATTTTCAAGAAGTATCAGTTGGAAATGTTATTTTCGAATAACAATTGGAACTGTTATTTCCAAATAACAGTTGTAACTGTTAATTTCGCATAACAGTTGGAACTGATATTTCTAAATCACAGTTGTAACTGTTATTTTCAGATATTAGTTGGAAATTTTACTTCCGAACAACAATTGAAACTGTTATTTCCAAATAACAGTTGTTACTGTTATTTTAAAATATCAGTTGGAAATGTTATTTTCGAATAACAATTGGAACTGTTACTTCCGGATAACAATTGTAATTGTTATTTTCAAAACATCAGTTGAAAATGATATTTCCGATTAACAGTTGGTACTGTTATTTCCAAATAACAGTTGAAACTGATATTTCCAAATAAGACCTGTAAATGTTATTTTCAAGAAGTATCAGTTGGAAATTTTATTTTCGAGTAACAATTGGAACTGTTATTTCCAAATAACAGTTGTAACTGTTATTTCCGGATAACAGTTGTACTGATATTTCTAAATCACAGATTTAACTGTTATTTTCAGATATTAGTTAGAAATTTTACTTCCGAATAACAACTGAAACTTATTTCCAAATAACAGCTGTAACTGTTATTTTAAAATCAATTGGTAATGTTACTTCCGAATAAAAGTAGGAAATGTTGTAACTGTTATTTTCAAATATCAGTTGGAAATGTTATTTCCAAATATCAGTTAGATCTGTTACCGTTATTTAAAAGTCTCAGCTTAAAATAGCAGACCTCTGATAGTCGTGGGCAAAACTGTTTCAAATTATCAGATTAAAATAACAGGCTTCTGTTACTTATTGAATAAAATCAACAAAATTACAAATTAGAGATTGACAAAACTAAGTTAGAACTGTTACTCTTAGTTAAAAATATCACCTAAAAATAACTTAACGGAATATATGATGCAACCATGATATATAAAAAAATCAATTTTTTCTCATCCATAAGTGTTTAATCCGGGTTAATCTAGTTATATAAAAAAAAGTGTCAAGTCACCTTATGATTAATAGCAAATACAACGAGTACTAAAGGATAAACAGAACCACCAGCGTGACAACACTGTATTTTTTTATTAATCGCGATAATATTGCAAAGATAAGCGGAGATGAAAAGTACGCATCCTTGACTCGAGAAAAAGTATCCTAAAAATAAAAACACGTGATGATTGAGAGGTTAGACCATTTATTTTCTAAAGCATCACGATTATTTTCACAGGAAATTGCTGAAAAATGTTATGGCGAAGGGCACAAACAAAATGGCACACTTTTTAACAATTTTTAAATTAAAAAAATAATTTTTATACAAGATTGTGCGAGAATTTCCATTAATTATTTTGTGACGTTTGAAAAAAAAACCATTTTTTTCTTAAATATCGCCACTACCCGTCCCAGATTAAATCTCTAGATGCACCACTAGTATAGAACTATACTTTCAGATACAACAGTGGTACTAAAATTGAACAAAGTTCTATTATTATTTGTCCTAGGTCAATACATGGTTTGTTTCCCCATTTTTTAAATTTCAATTCGTATTTTCACGATTATTTTTGGTATACGTGATAAGAGTCAGGTAATACCAGTACGATCGAGATTATACCTACTACATTTCTGTTCACACGGTTCTTCGAAATGTTTTTAACGAGTTACAAGCCGAATCTAACAGCTCTTATCAGATGATACATATCTATTACTATTATGTAATTAGAAACACTTAATTTTGATTTTTATACCGTACCCATTTTCGATTTTTTTCTTAAATTTTCAAAACCGTTGTTTTTTTTTGGAGTAAATAAATTTAACTATACAGGGTCATTCATAAAGTCGCGGCACATCAAAGTTTCATTTTTTTAAATAGAACCCCCTGTATATTATTACATATTTCAATTCTTCCTTCAATTTTAAGCAATAATCGTAATACACAATGACCATAAATAGAAAAATTAAAATGTTAAACGAAAATTTTGTAATTTCCAAATATTTTTAAGTATCACAGTTTTGGCAGAATGGCATCGTTAAATTAAACTGAACATATCGAAATTATTTAAATCAAATTGTTTAAGTGATATTTTGAAAAGTCAATAACTCGGAAACGGTTGCTTTGAGGTACATTGTGTGTATTTCGATTTTTGCTTAGAATTAAAGGAAGAACCGAAATATGCAATAATATACAGGGGGTTAAATTTAATAAAATGAAACTTCGATGTGCCACGACTTTATGACCGACCTTGTATACTTAAATTTATTACCCGCCAATAGATATTTAAAAATTATATAACTTTTGTATTTAACTTTTTGCGGTACCTCCTATATTTTACCTAATAATCGACCGTTTACATAGATAACACTATAACAGCGGCCCTGTATATATTATAGTTTAAAGTGGTCGATTTAGCAACCATTAACCTATAAAGGGTTAAAACTCGCCGTGTACTTAAAAATCTCAAGATTTTAAGGTATAAATACTACAATACTTGTTCCATTTTAAGCCTATCCCTATCTCGAGTTTATATCTGTACGTATATGGCAGTGAAGTTACGATGGCGGCGAAACCTGGCAACATCGGCCACTTGTAGGAATGTGTACCGTCAACTGACGTCACTTACTAATCCGTGTGCCGCCAGAGACGTCCTAGTAAGGTCGCGGCTGGCGCCGGAAGTTCGGAACGACACGATAAAGTGTCTGATTGTTCAATTTTTTCTAATTATTATCATTACCCGAGCGTATAGTTTTAGTCACAATCTGGGGAAATACTCGTTACCCCGAAATTATAGTCGATATCCGTAATTTAGTTATGGATTGCCAGTGACGGCGCATTGGGTGTCTTAGGGGGGTGATCCTCGTGATTACCATGCTGTAATTTTTGTGGTCTATCTGTTGTCCGTCCTCTTGCCAGGTGTCCTGCACATTGCCGCTTGAGGGATTTGATTCTGCGGTTGACTTGTAGAATGTAGAATGTTTAGGAGGGGAGTTAATCACCGCGACCTTATAGATCTATTGTGTGTTCCCCTTTCTTGAGTTATAACGAGTTATAACTCATCATACAGTCTCAGAGCTTTAACAAAAGCAAGTATCTGAGACGGCTCCACAGAGGCCAGCTCTCCATCCTCGACATCAGACGTACCAAGGTTCATGGCACGAATGGTCGTCGTCTCGGCGCACTCAGTGATAAGGTGTTCTGGTGTTTCCCCATTTTCCCCACAAAATCTGCATTCGCCGTTGTTTCTCAGTTTCAGCCTACTGAGGTGTTCGTTGAGGAGACAGTGTCCTGTTAGAAACCCCGTGACAATCCGAAGATTGTTTTTACTTAAATCAAGGAAAACCTTTGATTTTTCTCGGTCATAAGTTCTGAGGAACTTTTTCGAGTGTCTTAGACCGTTGGAGGACACCCGTTCCAAGTTACGGATGGAGTCTTCCAGATTCTTCAGTTCCGCTTTCAGTTGATTCCCGTTTGGAAAACAGAACGGTTCTGGTCCAGTTAGTGGAGTGTCTGCTCCTTTTCTAGCTAGATCATTTGCTTTTTCATTGCCTTCTATCCCTTGGTGAGCAGGCACCCAGAGTAGGAGGACTTTATTTTCTTTACCTAATTTGTTGAGCTTCTCTAGGCATTCTTTGACCAACTTCGAATTGATGGTTACTGAGTTGATCGCGTTAAGTGCTGCTTGACTATCAGATAGGATGGCAATTTCCTGTTTTCGATAGTTCCTATCCAAGATAAATTGTACACATCTTTCGATAGCGCAAATTTCTGCCTGAAGGATACTGGGGTAGGTGCCCATTGGTTCGGAGTATTCAGTTTTCGGCCCAAATACTCCTATCCCTGTCCCTGCTTTGGTTTTGGAAGCATCAGTATACCACGTGATGGTATGGTCTTTTATATGCTGAGTAAGCGTTTCTTTCTTCCAATCCTTTTTATTACTCAATACTACAGTGAGGTGTTTCTCAAAGTTGTAAATTCTTGGTATGTCATCCACTGGGAGTTGGAGAAGTGGAATTTTCTTTTTGAGGGTGTTCCAAGCCCCTGACCTGAAAATTCTCCCAGTACTGTTTCCGTCAATGACCATTCTAATCATTGTCGCATTGGCATAACTACCGACGACAATATGCAGTGGTGTTAGGTCTAGAATGACCTCCATTGCTGCTGTTGGACATGTTCTCATGGCACCTGTGATGCAGATACATGCCAGTCTCTGTACTTTGCACAGGGTTTGCCTTGCTGTACGTTGCTCTAGTTTTGTATACCAAGCAACTGCTCCATAAGTAATCATGGGTCTTACTATCATGGTATACATCCAGCGCAAAATGTTAGGGGCGCAGCCCCACCTATTTCCCGCCAGTCTTCTGCATATCATGAGAGCCTTTGTGGCTTTGCTGGTAATGTTCTTAATATGCCTGTTCCAGAGAAGTTTACTATCCAGGGTTATTCCCAGATATTTCACTTCCTGTGATGGCAGTATTTCCTTTCCATCTAGATGGATTCTTTTCAAGTTTTTCAAACTTCGCCTTCTGGTGAATGGCACTATCGCGGTTTTGTCTGAGTTGATACTCAGCCCGACAGTCCTGCACCATCTCTCAGTGATGCGGAGTCCTCTTTGGATAATATCACACAGGGTGCCTTCATGTTTCCCCCGTGCAATCATGACTATGTCATCTGCA